TTTTTTTCAATATTTTCTTTTTTTTTGTGGCCTTTTCCTTGCGGCTGAGATACTTTTTCTTAACGCTGCCGCGACGACGAGCAGGAGGCGAAGGAGTTTCCCCGAAGACGTTTCTCGTGATGTTGTCGTGGTGTTGTTATTTCGCTGTCTGCACTAGTATTGGTGTTGGCATCTACAGCCAGAGCCACATCCGTATCCGTATCGGTATAGGTATCGTTATCCTTATCCTTGGCCTTTGTTGATATCGTCGTCGGCGGTACGGACTCAAGGAACATGTTGCGCACGGAGAAAAAACACGGAGCAGACTGAACGGACTTGGCGAGCGTGCCGGAGCCGAGAGCACGATCCGTCACCAATGTAAAAACTCAACTAAAGCGATGATGAAAAAATCTGAAACAATATATTTTTGGGGGGCGAACCGCACACACAGATACTCTCCACGACACACACAAGCACACAGATGCAGAGGCGACGCAGCATCGACAGGCAGACAGACAAAACGCGCACTAACACCAATGCGCCGCTTCAAAACGCAGCGGCAGCAGAGTCTCTCTGTGTGTGTGTGAGTGGGTGTTAGTGGGTGGTGTGGGTGTGGGCCTGGCTGACTAAAGGCCGCCGCCGGCCGACACTCACACATACACTCACACAGCCAAGCGGTAACTTCGAAAAAAAGCAGCGGCCGCAGCAGCAGCAGCGCCAACAACTAAGCGAGCAAAAAAAAAGCAAAAAAAAGGAAAAATACAACAAAAAAGGACATGGCAAAAAAACCGAAAAAATATTCAAACGCACACAGAGAAAAAAGTTTTTGGTTGCATAGGCGGCGGGCGGCGACGTCGCAGTCGACGTCTCTGTTGGCGCTATTCAAATGCTGCGACGCCGGCAGCGCTGCCACCTGCCAGCAACAACAACAAGAACAGCAACAGAAATAACAAAAACAACAGGAGCAGCGCCAACATTGACCCAAACTCAAAGGAGGAGCAGAAAGGGGGTGGGTGCGGGTGGCGAGCAAGGGGGGAAGGGGCTCTAAAAAACGCGGAAAAAAATTGTGTAAAAAAATAAAGGGGAATTTTGCGCCGGCGACAAACCCACGCACACAAGCACACACATAGCCATGCCAATACACTCACACAGACGCACTGGAATTTTTTTCGCCGTTAGCCTTTGCCGCCCCAAATATCCTGTCTGCCGCCCCACCTCCCATTTTTTTTTAACCCAAACCCCCCTCTTCCCCCTGATTTTTTTGCATTTTGTTTTGTTCGACTTTGATGCGAACGTACTTCTTTTTTTACCATTGCGCAAAAGAGAGGGGAATGCCGGAGGAGAAAGAGAGAGATAGAGAGCGAGAGACTTTGCAGGCTGTGTTTGTGCTTTTGAATTTTTGCTTTTTGTTTTCATTTGGCACTGGTCAACAATTAACAAAAGTCATTATTGTGGCTTGTGTTTTTCCCGGCGATATTTCAGCTAAAATACAGTGAATTGGCAGATTAATCAATAGCGCCGGGAAGTAGGCATCAGTTTTTGGTTTTCGGTTCTTGCTGGCTGCCTCATTTCTGTGGTTGCGCTTTCTAGCACTCAATCAGCCTGACATGGGTAGCTATGAAAAAAAATCCCCAAAAATGTGGCAGCAATAGAGGATGGGGATTTTCCCTCCCAAAGGGGGTGGTCGATAGCAGCACACACCTCGGGCAGCGGAAAAAGCAGCAGAAAAAGAAGCAGGAAAGGCAGCAGCCTCCGCCCTGACCTAAGCCACCGCGCTGGCTTAACTGCCAACAGCAACCACCTCACATGCAACCACCCACTGGAGCAACCACCTCTAACCCCCTGCCACCCCATGCCACCCAACATCCCCCACCACAGCCCTCTGCTGCCGTCGACGTTTGTCTGCTGCTGCCATCGTTCTGCTGATATTTCTAAGTTCTTTTTTTCGCATTGCAACCTTGCCTCAACTTCTTCGCCCATCACCTCCCCCTTCCAGTCCCCCTCTCTTTCGATCCCCAGCAGTTTGCACATTTTTTCCCAGCATTTTTTCCATTTCCATTCGCTGTGCATTTTTTCTCTCAGCCGCCCCTCCTTTTTTCCAATTCTTTTTTTTTCTTGCCACAGGAAATAATTTTTTTCCTTTCTATCGCCCCGTCTCGCTTGCACCTTGTGCATTTTGACCCCCCGTTTGCAAAACACATTCATTTCTTTTTTTTACAGCCATTTCCCCATCGCTTTAGTGATGTTGCTGTTGGTGTTGCATTTGCTTTTGTGTTTTCGCTTTTAGATTTGGTTTTTTAGGATGCCTTTTTTTTGCATCCTGACTGCAGGGAGAGAGAGTGGGACAGGGAGAGCCTTAAAAAATAGCAGAGTTGCCATTGAAAAATACAATTTATTATAAATTGTTGTTTTTAGTGTCCAACTAGAATTGGGTTAGGCAAAGCGACGATTGCGGCGGAATTCTTTAACAGGTTGTTTTGCGTTTTATAGTTCAGTTCACAAGAGGTCAATTGATAAGTTGATCTTTCTATTACAAAAAAGATAATACAAGGACATAAAGAGTTTAATTTAACTCCTCTATAACACTTACAAATATTCATTATTTTTCTACATTGATTAGCTGACAACGCACACAAAAAGGATTATATAATAACATATTTTTCCCTCAAGTTAATTTGACTTAATTAGGGATTAATTTTCAAATGACGGCTTCTTGCTTATAACGAAAGTAAGTCAATAGGATTTGTAATATCAAAGGATCCCCCTGCTTTTAACAATAATGCTAATAATATAGGTTAGCTTGTGAATAGTTTTGCCACTTTTTAGCGTAAAAAGTTATCAATATTTTGTGAACTTGCCTGCCACAAAGTGTTTCCGAATATTTTCCTTGCAACTGGTAAAAACATTCTGATCAACTTTTGTGTGTGAAAAATTAATTATCACCACGTGGCAACACTGTCAACGTGCTTTGATGCCATTTTTTCGCACTCGTTTTTTCCCAGAACTCGCAGTTCAGCTCCCCTCTCTTTTTTGCCTGTTTTGTTGGATGTCCAAACATTTTTTATGCTGTTTTGTTGTGTTTTTTGTTTATTTTTTATGTTGTTTTGTGAGTACGCAACGGGCAGTCTCACATATAGAGCCGCACACGTATATTAATACTCACACACACACACACACATGGGCAGAGGCGTATCAGAAAAAGTACAAAAAAGCATTTTGGGAAAAGGGGCTGAGGCTGGGGGGATTGCATGGGCTTATTGCGATGCGTGACTCGTATTTGTGGACTTTGAATACAAACAAAACAGTCGGACACAGATAGAAACCCACACAAGTGCAATTATGAATACTACACACAAACACACACACACACACACGGCACACACATAATCACAGAGAGAGACACTCTCACTCACATCAATGTGTGCATTTCAATACGCATTAATAACTACGAATTCAATGTGGCAACCATCCTCAGCTTCTCAACCCAGTTCCCACCCAAACCCTCAAAACTCACACACACAAACGCAGACACACACCGGCGTCATTGCAGCTGACGCCTAAAAAACGACTACAAAAAAGCATAAAAATCAAATTCGCCGCCCTGTTCGTTAATTTTGCTGCCGCTGCTCTTCAATTCGCGCCGAAATTGAAAAGTGCGACGATAATTTTTAATTTTCAAGCAATCCCTACTTTAAAAATCTAGTAAAGTCAAATCAAAGATTGGCTAAATAATTACCCATTCACCTAACAAAACGATTATTGTTTTATTTCCTACTAAAAAAACAAATAAAAAAACACCCAAGCGAACTCTCTAAATTCTAATTTCTGGTGTTTTTTTAGCTCCACGTAGTGGATTCAACATTTTCGCTTTCTGATGCGCTCGCTTCACATGAACTGCAGCACTTTTTTTGGTACTACATTTTTGCTGGTTGCATTCTACGTCTGGTGGCCGCAAAACGTTTTTCCATGAATTTTTCATCCATTTAGCGTCGCCATCGAGCCATTTTCAGGGCGCTTAGAATTCATTGATACTTTAGCAAATTGTTTTTTCAGTTTGATTTTCTACATTCTTTTCGTTTTTTTTTTGGGACTTTTGGGCTTGTATCGTGACATTGAATCTCGGTGGGACATCAAATTCTTTAGCGACAGGGCTTTAAGGGGACTTTGCTTGTTTATAAAAGGTTTGTTGACATCGAAAAAAGCCGATATCTATATGAAAGTATTCAGACATCGAAAGGAGCTGTAAGCATTCTTTTATTGCCCATTTGATATCATAATCGTTTTAATCTGAATTACAAGTGGTGTCAATTGATTATTTTTCCGTAAGCTACTGATTCCTTTAGTTTCAGTTTTGCTTAAATTTAATTTCAATTCATGTCTTGGATATATTCTGAATAGTTTTCTTTTAAGACACTCAATTATCAAGTCATTGCAAAATTGTGGTTTATAGTAAAAGTCACTTCTTAAACGTATTTAACGTTTCAAAGAAAATTAAATAAAAATTCAGCTAGGCTAATGTTATTTAAATCTTTTAATAAGAAAGACAAATTATTCTTTTTCTTACTAGGGACCTTAAGCTCACTGTTTAAGACATGTTAATTTAATGGCCTAATGTTTCTTCTAAAAATTAAATAAAAATGCCCTATTTTTACTCTTGTTAAGGGTTATACTTGACAGACTAATTTACAAAATAAATAAAATAAACAGGTATTTAACTTTCTTTAGAAAATAGGTAAAAATTGTCAATTTGGAAAAAAAAAACTAATTCTTATAAGCATGTATAACCGAAAGTTTCATATAATTCTTTTTTAATCTATTCTTTTCAATTCTTGTATAAATCAACGAATATGAATTTGAAACGTTTGGGTTTTTATCTTTTATATAAGCATAAAGCAAACAAATCCCAGCAGGCGTTACAAAGGGCTAATGCCATTTATATACAAGCAAAGCAACTTCAAGTCGTCAGCTTACAACCGATTCCGAATAAGTCAGTCGTCTTAATAAACATTTCGATTGAATGTTCGGAGAAACGAGCCTACAACATCTGCGTAGCTGACTCAATCTGAAGCTGCCTCTCTTCGGAAATTGCCAACTGACCAGAACAGCTGAATCAATCGTCAGCATTTAGCGATTAGAGGGTCTGCAACGTAAAAGCCTTCATTTCGATTTTATTTTCCCTGGCGATCGCTCGGCAATGCTGAACAAACGGAGGCTTTTGCGGGAGTACCAGTCCTACGATGATCTCAACGAGCACTTCAGGATGTTCGGATCGCAGTCCTTCGATTCTTTACAAGATCGCGTGGATATGAACCCCAGTACCAGCGATGGATTATCCACAGATGGTCTCGACTACTATCAAAACTGCACGCAATCCCATGCGGGGCTGCTGAGGGAGCACAATTTTAAGGTTAAGTCTTATAACTACAACGTGGGTAAATGCGTGCATTGCATGAAAAAGTGAGTGCTTTGTTTTATTTATCTAAGAATTATCCATACAATCAAAGTTAATTTAAGATTAATACAAATACAGTTGCTTGTTCTAACAATCAAAGTTTCACAGCTTGTATCATCTGATCATACTAAGAAAGAAAAGAGAAGACTTTACTTAGACTTGCTCTATATTATCACTCATCTCATGTAAAGAGAGTTCGAAAAGTTTCAGCTATTTCGACTGTATTTATACATTTGGAAAATACGAATCACTTTTAATGAGACTTGAAAGTACGAGTATAGTGCAATCTAGACTACTTTATAATAAGTTCATTTTAACTTAATTTTATCTTACTTTGTTCTAGGAAATTTCGGAATAGAAAATATTATGTTAACTCTTTATTGGTTGACAAAAATATTTAATAAAAAAGATTTAAGATTGCCTTCATTAAAAACTTCCAATGTAGACAAGCAGAATTTTATTCAAAAACTAAATTATTTTGCAGTATGTATATATTTTCACTATGGAAAAATTGTTTTTTCAAAATATTTTCCTAATTTAAAACTGTTAAATTAAACCAATTAAAAAGTATAATCCACTCCCCTCGCTATCTCTATTTTCCCTTCAGAATCCGCTTCGCTACGGCCAGCCTGCGGTGTCGGGCGTGTCCGCTACGTTGTCACATCGACTGCTGCCGCCAGCTGACGGTGAACTGCATACCCCAGCCCCCAATGACCACGATGCGTGGCAATCTCAGCGATTATGCACCTCCGGTGGCACCCATGGTGCCGGCCTTAATTGTCCATTGTGCCACGGAGATTGAGGCGAGGGGATTGCAACAGGAGGGTCTCTATCGAGTGTCCTCGACCCGCAAGAAATGCCAGCGGTTGCGGCGGAAGCTGCTGCGTGGCAAGTCCACGCCGCATTTGGGCAACAAGGACACCCACACACTGTGCTGTTGTGTGAAGGACTTCCTTCGCCAGTTAGCTCACCCCCTGATACCCATTTACCACCGTAGGAATTTCCACGAAGCCACGCTGCAGGCTGATCCCATGGCCATCGAAATGGCTGTCTATATGGCGGTTCAGGAGCTGCAGCAGCCTCATAGGGACACTTTGGCCTTCCTGATGCTCCACTGGCAAAGGGTGGCCGAGAGTCCTGCCGTCCGCATGACGGTGAACAATCTAGCCGTGATCTTTGCTCCCACTCTCTTTGGAGATCTGGATTTGACCCTTGAAAATGTGATCATTTGGCAACATGTGCTGAAGGTGTTGCTCGAGCTGCCACCAGGATTCTGGTCTCAGTTCCTAGAGGTGCATCCGCTTCCCCACACCTATGGGTAGTACTTTTACTTTCGATGAGCGGTACTCTGAAGATAGGCACTGGGATCACTCATCTAATCTGGGCTGGACTTCGTTTAAGACCTACTTTAGATCTATGGTAAGACTTGGGATTTCTGCGTTTTTAATTAAATTTAATTAATATCGAATTAATCCCGTTAAAACTAATATTCCTTATAATGATCTTTGTAAGGAAACAGTTTTATGTTTTAATCAAGTTAAATATAATTCCCTTAAAGTTAAAGCAACTTTTTAAAGTCTTCTAATAATTTTTTTCCGTTTTAGGTCAACCTCAGCAATACTAATCTGTAGTGTAAATTGGATATATATAATGGTCCCATGAAGTGCATTCGTTTGGCTTGATAGGAGCAAAGGAAAAACTTGCCTAGAAGAAGGTTCCTAATCCCAAAAGCTTTCGTTTTATTTTTTATTACTTTTTTTCCTTTACTGTAAATAATTAATAAAAACGATCTCTAAAAAATGTATTTGATTTAAATGTTTTTCAGATACTTAGAAGTTCTTTTATATTATGTTAGTAGATGAAAATAAATCTAAGTCTGGAAAGAACATGTTTAGAATTTGGCATTAGGTTATAGTCTTAAGCAGGGTTATTTAAGCTTTTCAGTATTAATATTATCAAAAAAAAATAATGTTTAATAAGTAATATTTTGAAATGTTGAAAACAAATTCTATCAAAAGTCCAAACAATAATTTTCAGTTTTCATTACCCCTAAATCTTATTTGCGATCCCAGATTTTTTAAACAAGAAATATTATCATCATTAATAGCCAAATTTGTTTACAGAATTCAATATGAAATTCGGCTAATGAAATAAAGAAACCGGGCTAAAATCTTTTTCGCACCACATAAATATTATAGCACGGCCCAAAGCGACATAATCGTATAACTATATATTTCGAATATTGAAACATTAATAAACATTTTTAATTGAATTTGCTGTTTTTTCTCCCAACGTTGATTAATTCCCAACCGTGGAAAAACATGTAAAAAATTAATAATTTCCATTTGCCATATTTATGTTTCTTTGAAGCGTAAACCAAAGCACAAAGTAAAATATTTTGCCACGTATACATCACATATAAATAAGTTAAAGCGCCAAGAAAAAAGTTAGCATTTTAAAAACAATTTGGTGAGTGCTGGGCAAAAAAGTGCGGCCATTAAATGCAAAAAACAAGCAAAGCAAAACAAAGCTCTCGACGAGTGCATAAATAGACCCATGCCATACCAACGCCAATATAGCCAGTCGATCCAGTCCGATCCCAAGCCAATATATATGTGCGAGTACGGATGGAATAATGTATAATACAATCAAAAATAAACAAGGAGCGAGACGGCATCTGTGTGCGAGGAGAGCGGCAGAGCATTCGCGATGCGCTTCTGTTGCTAACCGCTAAAAATGGCAAATGGGCTGGCAATTGTTGCCGTGGTCGCCCGTTAACGTTAACCAAATGCTAATGCCAAAGGCCACAAAACGCACACTCTTGCACACACACACTTTTAGGGGCAGTTCGCACCAATACCGTGACAGAAAAATGCAGCGAAAAAATGCAGCAAAAATAAATAGGCAAAACAAAAATAAAAATAGTTTACATAATTCATGTATTATATCGGATCAAATTTTAATGCCCGCCGCCGCTCTGCCTGGGTGTGTGTTTGTATGAGCGTGTGCGAAAAACATTGCCTACTTGGGGGCGCGAGTTAAAATTGTTTAACAAATGGCATGACTGCAATGTATGTGAGTGTGCGTGGCGCGTCTGTGTGCGCCTGCATAATTCGCATGCAGTTTTTGCTTTTTTAAAACTTTTTAGCCTATTTTTATTGTTAATTAAATGAGGGGAATAACAGACACAGTCCACTGCCATTGAGCATGTAAGTGTGCGTCGTGTGTGTGTCCCAGAATGTATGCCTATGTTTGTGTGTGTGTGTTTGTTTTGATGTGCGCAACAAATTTTTGCAATTTTTCTATTTTTGTCGGCAGTTTTTCACCCGCTCGGGCATTTTCCGCTCGTTGTTCGCATGTAATTCACTAATTGATAGTGTGAGCGTGCCCCATGCTGCCACGCCCGCTCTTACGCCCCCCGCTGACCACTTGTGTAATTGTGTTAGTGCCTGCCCACACATGAACACACACAAAGTTGAAAGCGCAGCAAAGAAGAATGCAAAAAAGTAAATGCAAATGTCAAATAAAACTAAAAAGATTGCAGTTAAAAATAGTAGAAACGTTTTATGCGTGGGGAGGTTTTAAACACAAAAAAAAAAAAAAAAAAAATACAAAAACGCTCACCAATACTAGCACAGCGTGGTGCTAATAATAACATAGGGTAAAAATCGCAGCTCATTTTTATGTTTATTTCAGTTATTTCTGCACTTTTTTGCCCCTTTGCTAGGCGTGTTCTATAATTTTATGTAAGCTTTGTGTCGGTCGCCCCAAACAAGTGGGCGCGGCATGTAGTCCATAAAAAGTGCCCTTTTTTCCAGTGTACCTGCTTTCGGTGTTTTTTGCGGATAAGACAAATATTTTGTTGAAGTGAAAAAAACTTCAAAAAATATACATGTCCGTGATTAATTTTGTTTTTAAAGGATTTCAATTACAATAAGGACTTTCCTTGGGAAAACAAATATTTGCGTTGAGTTTGGAATGTTATTTGTGGAGTATTTTTAAGGCTTAAAAATATGCAGGGAATTCACAATGGTGGGAAATTATTAAATAAAGTATGCATTTGAATATATACAGCTTAAAATATTATTAAATTATTATTCTCCATAAAATTGGCCAAAGCATTTAATGATTTCCGTCAGAAGGCCTGTATTCAATCAAGGTGTTATTTACTTATTTTAAAAATAATTTAAAAATAATGTGTATTTTTCGTTCTCCTCTTTGGGTGGAAAAAAGAAAAAAGAACCCGAATGAAGCTCCTGACATGCGCCCCAAAATGGTGAACATAATTTTTGGTCAGCTGAAAAAACCGGTTGGAAATAGCAGTACCGTGCCACCACCCCACCGACCCACACCAACCAAAAAGGATGCAAAGAAAGTGGCAGAGCAGAGCACACTAACATGATAGGCTGGCCGAAACATCCACACACACACACACACTCACATACGAGAAATGTGGCCAGTTTCAGTTCAAAAGGTAAAAAAAAAAATGGGAGAGAGAGGAGCTGCTGCAGGACTTTTTTTGTTCCTACATATGAAAGTGCCAAGTGTAGTAATTCCAATTGAAGCTGGGCTGGGCAACAACAAACCGACTGCCAAAGTCCAGCTGCAGGAGCGGGATCGCCGAAAAAAAGTATGGAAAGTGTGGGTAATTAAAAAAGTAGCAGCAGCCGCTTTTGAGCGTAGAAACGCACTAATTTTCAGTAGTGCAGTTTCCACACACAAGCACACACACAGGAGCAGGGAGTATGTGCATGTGCCAAAAAGACATACAAAATTGACACACTCACACAAGGATATAGTTCACACAAACACAAGCACACACACGCATGTAGAGGGGCAAGAAAAAATGGAGAGTGTAGCATACTTTTAGGCATGCTGCTATTTCACTTTGTCCCGCACAAATGAACACCTCCGCCCATGTCGGTCTTCCATCGACTCCGCGTTCTCACCCCCTTCCTGGGAGTGTGTAGGTGTGTGTATGTGCGTGCTCATCAGCGCTGGAAATGTTGTTAGCCCCTCGCCGCAATTTGTGGGCATTGTGGGTGTGGCATATCAGCCGGACACATCATTCGTCCAAAAATGTTCGCTGTCAATACTGTTGTTCTTTCAGAATAAACAAAAAATAGAACAAAAATTGTTTACTTAGTATAAGAATAGCTCGAAAAGAAATTTCATATAGTTCAACATTGATCCATAGATGGCTTAAGGCCAAGGACATTGCCCAATGTTTTTGATATAATAATTATAGGGAAACTACCAAAAATGTGTTAAGTAAGAATAACTTCTTTAAGGCTTAAGGGTTTATCTAAACACCCGACGAATCATCAGTAATTTTATGATAAATATTAGATAGCGAGTGATTTTATAATAACAATCTACAAAATATTCATTCTCAAGATCGCTCATCACATCTTTGGCCCACCAGTATTGGATCTCACGCATATCGATGACCCATAAGGATTCTTGGACAGCAGCTCTCTGTTGACAGCTGGCACCTGCCCCGGTTCAGGCCACAAATAACCGTTAAAAAACAATAAGCTCAATTAGCAGCAATCAACGCAGGCCGTGGACGCTGCATAATTGACATTTTACGAGCAACTGCAGCTGTTGGCTCTGGGCTTTTTGGTCCTGGCTTTCAGCCACGGCTTGAGTGTCAATGCAAGTGCGTGGGGAGCCGCGAATAAATGTGCGAAAACGAGGCAACATGATACGAAAAGGGGTTAAGTACACTGAGCAATAACTCATGATCAGTTTGCATATTGATCCAAATATCTATATAAACGTTTGCAATGACCAGAGGATCTAATATTTATAATACGCCATTAAGAAACACTTTTATATTTGACTTGCAAACAATTTAAGCTCTGTTTACACCTTATCTTTGGATAATTATCATGCTTTCCTTAGATTTTAGCATTTAAAGTCATGTTTTTGATTTTAATCAATTAGAGTCTTGAAACCTTTTTAAAGTAAGTAAATCTACATCTTAAGATAAGAATCGACTACTTTTTCCCCAGTGCCATGTGAAATCCGAAACTTTTGTTGAGCTTAATCAACTGGAAAATTGTAAACAAGAGCCGATGCCTTGCACGGTCCTCTCAGGGCTTCGAATCCGATTGGACTCGATCCCCTTGGTCACCCAATCTTTCGGTCAACTGGTTCATGCAACGCCAGGGGCGTCGGCATAATTCAACAGTGGCCACCCTTAGCCTTGAGTTGCACTGCCACCAGCAGCCAAATGCATATGTAGGTATGAGAATCGCAATACGCGACTGTCGATGCACTCACCTGGGGGCACATTTTGCACTGATACTTGCGTCCACTGCCACCGCCAGTGGCATGTCCACCGGCCACGGAGGCGACACCACCGGGTCCGCCCATTTTGCTGGCATTTATCGGCTGTGGCACCACCAGCAAGGCTGCCGCCGATGCAGCAGCAACTGCCTGGTTGTGATGATGGGCGGCGGCGGCCGCATGGTGCGAACTGGCGCCAAGGCTGGGGTTGCCACCCACAGAGGCAGCACCGCCTCCTCCGGCAACTCCGTTGGATGCACCTAGACCCAGGCCACCTGCAAGGGGAGGAAATGTACGAGAGTGAGACATAGGAACCATAGGCTTTAGTTTGTAGAGACAATAATTGAATTCTTTATTAAGAATTTAACATAACATAAATAATAAACATTTTCATCTGTGCCTAAAAGTATTTTTCACAAAATGAAACAAAAAGGAATGTTTAAGATGATTTTAAAATGAGTTTGTAAAAGTGTTTTTTTACTTCAGGAGGCCAAAATTATATGACTGATTAATAAATCGTAAATCTGAGATAGAACATCTTCTTCTATTAGCAGTCTAATCTGACTATAGCCCATATAAGTAAAATCTATTTAAAATTATGCTAATAAATAATATATAAACCCTTTAAAGTTGTACCTCAGATTTTGTTTTTCAAAATAACAAAACAAGTTAAAACTTTCCGGAATATGTCAAAAGATGCATTTAAATTTAAAATTTTTAACATTTTTAATATTTTTAATAGGCAATAAAAAAAATCAGAATCGTGGTTTACCATTACGTTTTGTTAATACTTTTCCCATTGCCCGTGAGTCATCGTGTCACCCATCAACTCACCTTGTCCAGCAACCGCATGATGCTCCAGGCGATTGTCATCCAGAAAGTGACCTGCAAAGGCAATTGAGTTGTTGCATTTAGTTGTTGTGTGTCAGCGTTGTGGCGCCACGGCTTCGAGCGGCATTAGTGCTGCCCCACGGTTGTCCATCAAGTTCTGGTTCGTTCGCTCAGTCGTTCGGTGGCCGTTGAAGTTGCCGCCACTGACGTTCACTCACGTTGGCCATGTCGCCACCTGACCACCTGAGCAACTCGACCAACCCAGCTCCTGGCTGCCTGCTCTTTTTTTTTCTAATTAAACTGAGACATTAGTTGGCCCCGCTGATTGCCGCTGGGAAATCGCTGGAGGAGTTATGTGAAAATAGTTTCGCATTTTCCTGGGTTTTAGAATTTTTTCATCTGGCCCATTTGCGTGCAAAAATTGTGTGAATCCGTTAATGAGTTTCAGTCTGCTTGGCTACTACTGGTTAGATGTGGTTATGAAGGGTTGGCCAGGATTTCGGGCTAATCATCAAGTTATGAACAATAAGCACAATAAGCGCTGCTGAAAATTCCTTGGTAAGCCGGCTTAGCCGAACAAACTGAAACAAACCAAACCAAACCATAGCCAACTCGGTTTCTGGGCGCCCCGCAGCTATGTCAAAAACATTTCTCTAATAAAGCATTTGCAGATAATTGCTGGGCCCCATCCTCCGTCATTTCTGTGTTAATTACAACAGAGCTGGCCAGTGGCGCCAGCCAGAAAGTTCAGCTAATGAACAGTGGCAACTACGAGTGGCTTTCCAGCGGCATTTCAAATGGAGTACCCGGCAATATGAGCCGGGGACACCAGCAGTACACCAGTAAAAGTTGCCTTATTGTTAATTTGTACAAGGAGAGTATCCGATCCGAGTACATCTACATCGAAGCTAACAATGTGGACGATCGCTATCGCAGCACAAAGCCAACAGCATCAGCAGCAGCAGCAACAACAACAACCTTATTGGCCAATTGCCTAGCGTTGACATTATCGGCTGGCGATCATTGCCGCCAACGTCAACGCCAACAAGCTCTGGGGGATCTGTGGAGCCCAAGTCGAGGTCCAGGCAAAGGTAAAGCAACTCCAAACAGGAGCGTGTTGCTGTCAATGTTGCTTGTTGCAAGTACGTAGTTGGTAGCCCGGTAGTTGGAGCGGCAACAATGCTGCTACCAACGAGCCCAGCTAAAATGTTGTTTGCATTTTAGGAATTTATGTAAACATCTTGTAAGCATCTGGCGACTGTTGTTGCTGTTGCGGCTGTTAAAGGTCAATTTTTCGGCTTATTTAGCTGCACTGAGGAAAGTTATTACTAACCTTTGAGTTTAAAATGTATATAAATACTATGATTAGAGACTTTTAGTCTACAAGTAGTTAAAGATCATTTTGTATCTTTTTACTCCAACTAAAAAGTATCTTTCTATTGAGTATTTCACACAAGACCAACTACCTTATTGATTTCTCCGTTTTCTTGGCAACTTATAAGGACTTAGTGTCATGGTAAATGGATATTAAATGGAAAATAAGATCATCCCATTGATAATACAATTATTTTCCGTGTGATACTCCGTGGGAGTATGAGACCAGAGCACATTGTCTTGCCGGCTTTTGTTCGCGGCCCGCACGCGTTTTCCAATTTAGCTTTTGCATTCTTGGCCAAGTGGGTTTAGATCGGTATCTGGGAGATCTGCGGTTCGCGCGCCGCGATCTGAATCTTGGAAATTCGTGATTATCGGTCGGGTTGTTTTTGTGAGCAATTAATTAACAAGAGCATTGTTGTCAGTCAGGTTCTGGGTAGGTCAAGTGAGCTGGTTGGGATAGGTCCGAGAGGTCCGCAAAAGCTGACTCACCTTTTTGCAGATTGTTGTGGTGGTGATCGTTCATTTTGGCCTGAAAGGGAAAGGAGAACACAGATTGACATTAAGTTAATTCGTCACTAATCGGTAGCATGGTGGGTCCGCCTGGTGGAAAAGCCAAAAGCAATTCAGTTAATTCGATTTACAATTGTCGCTTCTAATCTGGCCAATCCCTGATAATTGCTTGTTGTCTAATGTCAATTCATAATTATTCCACACGCATTTAATTAACCTCATCAACTTAAAATTATTATCAAATATTCATTCGCAAATGTGCAACTTTGACCCCACATCAAATGGCCATAAAACAATTTGTGAGCGCTGTCAAAATATTTAAACAAATTTTCTAATGGCTCTCAGCCCTGCAAATCGCATTAGAATCAGATGGACAGTGGAAGAATGAAAAAAAAATAGAAGCAGAGAAAAAAACGAATGCAATTTTCACAGTGAAAATCACAAATAACAAATGTTTTCGCCAGCTGTCAGGGCGAGTCAAAGCTAAACAAGCGATAAATGAATTGAAAAGCAAATCGAATGCGTGACAAAACCAACAGTCCAGACACATCAAATCGGCTGACGGACGGGGGGCAAATATAAATAAAAATTCTTGCTCCGAATGTGGGTTAAAGTCCTCCAGCCAGACACATGACCTAGGACGACATCATCGATGCGATGCCAACAAAATGGAAATCGAATAAAATAAACTTTTGCCATCAGCCGTTGGCTGTGTCAAAAAATAAATGCCAGCCGGCTTTTTTCTAAACAATTTCCATATGCTTAGGACGGGCGGGAAAATGCGGGGAAAACCCCCGCCGAAATGCAACAAGAAAATATAAATACAAATATTGCAGCGGCGAAACAAAAGCAAAATCTCTGGTCTGGCTTTTGCCAGACACACTGGGCTATGAAAGTAAATAAGCGTGTTGGGTGGCTGGTTAGGTGGGCGGTTAGGTGGGTTGGTTTAGTGTATAGATGGGTGGTGCGGAAGCCAGAGAGAAAAACAAATCCAAAGCCATGGCGGCACGCGAGCTTAGAATTTGTGTTTTTTTTTTTTTCGCTTTGCAACATTTTGCCAGCCATAAAGTTATGCCAGTTTGTTTTAGCAACGTTACGGATACGGATCTATAGATAAACATCCTATAGCCAGCATTTACCCGGGCCACTTACCTCGTACTCCTGCTTCAGGGACATCGGATGATGCTCGCTGGCATGCTGATGACTGCGCGGCGTTGGTGGCCAAAGATTGTAATCGCTTATGTCTTTGGCATGCTGTTGTTGTTGGTGGTTTGTTGATTGTTGGTTGTTGGTTGTTTATTGTTGGTTTTACGGTTTTAGATGTGCGGTTGTGTGTTTATCGCCCACCGATTTGTTGGTCAATTAGCAGGGAAATAGTACATGAAATAGACAAAATTAGATCGCATTTAAGTTGAAATTTGAAAAGGTGCATAGCAGTTTCAAGGTCACAAAGTTTGTTTCAACCTATTGTCGGCTTTTCGTATTGCTAATATCTATGAAATATAAGTTAAGAGATTAGGTATTTCATTCTATTTTTAATTTTTTAAAAGAGTATTATGAAATACACAAAGGTTTACTGTTCTGAAGGTAGTATAATTCTTTGAGGCTTTACAATCCTAAAGTAACTTTAACCAAGCCAATGGCTACAAATGATTTCCATTTTTCTGGTTTTTAAGCCATGCTGAAAAATGTATTTCTTATGTATTAACTAACAATTTATTCAAAATAAAAACCATTGACAAGAGCAAAAGGAAATGATGTGTCTTAATCGAAGTGACATCTCTCATTGACTTCTCATTTGACATCTCTCATTTGCATATTTCAAAAAGTTATACAAGCGTAAGGGAATTTCATAAAAAACTTTTCATTTATTTAAAAGCAATTATTGGGAAAATGTTTTGTGAAGCTGAAAGCAACTCGAAGAAAAATTTATTAAAAATACTTTTTAAACTGTTTACTAACTAAGTCGTTATTAAGCATATTTTAATATCTTAGATTTCTTTTTTTTTACTGAGGAATATAGTGATATAATTTCAGTAAAGGAGAAAAAATTTAAAAAAATTGTATTATTATTATTTTTACCACAAAGTAGACTTACGCTTACATCTGCCGCAATGGCCAATTAAACAAAAAATTAATAAACTAACTAAAAAGTGTAAGTGGCAATTTTTTAGTGAAAAGAGGGAGTCGAATGCCTATTACAAGTAAGCACACTGAAATATAAATCCATAAGTGCTCTTATTGATTTGTTTAAGCGTTTTTAAAGTCTATTTTTCTTATTCATTTTTTACCTTTCATTTTTTTTATATTTGCTAAATACATAGATTGGTATTGGTATTGGTAAATACAAATATGGCCCATAAAGAACCCTCTTAGAGATGACTGTTTGTATCATTTGAAATGCAAAACTACTTAATCGTTTTACGTTTTTTGATACAATTACTAAAAAACAACCTCTCGAAACATAGTTAGAAGCCACACTCCCCCAATGCATTCCGTTTGTTCTTGATCTATTGTAACAAGATCTGCATTTGCTCTGTGTTTAGCAGCAAAAAAAATTGTTGGGAAAAAGGGCATGCATGAATTGGAGACCGCCAAGAAAAGTCTGGTAAAAAAGTGCTGGCCAACGGCTCGAAATACTAATACAAATAAATGTGAGTGTCAATTGAAATAGAAAACCGCGCGCCGCACACAATCGAGGTGTCAAAGCGACGGCGATGGTGAATGTCCACAAGAGCGACAAAAGTGCGGCGGCTTTTGGTGTTGGCCCAATGCAAAAACGCATCAACGCAAAAAAACGGAGCAAAACAAAGCAGGCCAAAACACGACTAAAAAAAACAGTTGCATAGCGCAAGGGGAGTTGGCCACTGTGTGATAGGCTCACACATATGCGGGCCTGCGTGTGTGCGTTGGCTCGCCTGTGTGGGTGTGAACCGCTGCTCGGCGCTAGTCTTGTTGTTTTAGTTGTAGCCTCTCTCTATCTCTATCTCTCTTGCGCTTCTTTTAACTCCAGATAGCCACCACCTACACCCTGCCCCTGCAGCCTGCAGACTAGTTAGTAGGTGGGCTAAAAAGAAAATAAGAGCGGGCAAAAAACGCACAGAGACAGACACACGCACAGACGCAGCTGCTGATGAAGATGACCAGAGCCATGGACATGGCTGTGGACATGGACGGAAGTCCTCTCTAACCAACAGCCCAGCACCAAATACAAGTCCAGCAACAGCAGCAACAACAACAACAGGAAGGCGTCGCTTGGCCCACTCCCATTTTCCATTTCCGCCAAGTTCGGTTTGCAGCACGCAGCAAAAATGGACAGGGATAAAAAAAGGAAGACATTTGCGAAACGCAAAAAATGGCACAGCGCGCAGCGGCAGCTTTCTCTTTCTCCTTCGCTATCTCGCTCTGAAGCTCCAAAAACAAAAACAAAAAAAAAAGACAGAAAAGCCAAAGAGTTTCTAGAGGAAAAAAATCAAAAACAAATTTTTTAACCCCTTCGCTGGGCAGCTGGCAGCGGCGTCGACGTCGAGGGTCCTGTGGGTGGGGCAGATTGGGTGGCTTAGCCGCCTCTATGCAGCGTTAAAAAGTGCAAAAAATTAGGCGGAAAACGTTAAAACATTTTTTCCCTTTGCAATTGCACGACCTGACCATCCGACAGGACTCGCCAGGACCTCCACCCCCCTGCAATCCCAGTCCTACCGAAAGCGTGTTTTGCACAATGTAGCAACCTTTGCCGGGGTTTTCGGTCCGGTCTGGCTCAACTCCCAAGCCCATCCTCGCAAGACGCTTCACTCCTGCCCCCTTTCACCTTGGTTTAGCTTGCTCCTGTTCCTGTTCCAGCACCAGCACCAGCTCCAGCTCCTTCTCCTGCTCTCCCTTTTTTCTTGTGCATTCCATTTTTTATTTTATTTCCTTGGGCTTCACATCTTTTTAGTCATGTTGCCACTGTCTGCTTCTATTGATTTTTTTCGCATTTAGCCGAAAAGAAAAAATAAACTAAACTTCTGCTTTTTTTCATGTTCAAATGTTTGACCATCCGCACTTTTGTCTCATTTCTGGAATACCCTTTCAAAGGGCTAAGACAGCTTGACGATTAATAGCCTCTATTAAGATTCCTTTAAGGTAACATTCAAGACGTTGGCTAAAATATTATTATTTAGATGTCTATTTATTTTAAAAATTATATAAATAAATAACTCAAATATAGTAGGATTTAAAGAAATAATATTGACTTTTAAAATATTTTACCTTTTTATATCTTTAAAATTAAAAAAATAAACAACCAGAAATTGTTTTAAATTTGTAAAAAATATATGAAAACCCAGTAGACTAGCTGTGTAAGCATTTTATTTAAGAATCAAGGAAATAGACAATAATTACTCTTTACAAAATGCCATTAAGTTTGAAAGGGAATTGAAATCTTCGGTTATCCTTCGCCAACCTTCACCTCATGCTCAGCTCTCTTTTGCTGTCGCCAAAGTACAGCGCCGAGGTCTGAGGTTAGAATAGGTTAGTCTCTGGTTCTTGTTGATTTTGTTGCTACACAAAAATTGTGTCCAACTTTGTTGCAATTACTTTAAAAAATTGAAGTTGCTTGCGGTTTTGGCGGTTCTGCCTTCCGCTTTTTCCGCTATTTTTTTTCGCTTTCAGACCAACTCCGTTACCAATTCGACGTGCCGTGACTGGCCCCATTAGTCAGTTTTAGCCTCGGATACAGAGAATCGTACTCGATTCGACTGGAAGTCGAAGGTAGAGTGGAGTGTGGCTGGTTTTGTTTCGCTTCGCATTTCAATTTTCAATTTTCACTTTTACGTTGACGGTTTTTCACCCTAATTGAAGCGTAAGTATTAATTGCAAAGCTTTGTATCGCAACGTGCCGTGGTCAGTGGTTTCCTTTGACCAGAATATGTCTAAAGGATATATAATTCATTTACTACCAACTAATCTACTTTAGATTCGTGCTCGGGCTAAAATTAAGTGCAAAATTCATTAATGAGCTCCTTCAGCAACTTTGCTCTGCCTGTCTCGGCCAACTAATTTCGCTAATGCAAGTGACAACGGCAGCAAAAAATACTATGATTGTTGACGCAGCGAGTTGGTAAGGGTCAGAGGGATGGCTAAGAGGAGAAAGAGCATTGTTCAACTTTAAAAATTAATTAACTACGAATATCCTTTAAGAATCATGCGGGTGTAGCAAAGTTTTAAATGGGTTTCGCCAGGACTCGCTAACGAGTCCATTCAGTGGAGATTCTGCCCTGGTCGGGGTGGAAATACGAGGTGAACCTTTCTGCCTGGACACGTCGCCGTCGTCCTTGGAGACAATCACTCTCCATTCAAAACAATAATTTCGCTGCTCCTTAAAAAAAACTGTTGGGAAACTTGCTGAAGCTCAATGAAAAGCAAAAGGAAAAAAGGCAAAAAACAAAGAAAGTCGGAGCAAAAAAAAGTGGGAGGGTGAAAAACAAGACCGACAAAACAATGTTTAACGCGTCGCGCAAAGAAAAACTTGTTTACATCTTGGAAAAACGCACAAAAAACGCAAAGAAAAAATCGTAGGATTTTTCCTTTTTTTATTTCTTACACACCGTGGCACGCGAGCAGAGAGCAAAGCGTTTTGCTGGAAACTCGCAGAAGGAGCAGTGGATAAAAAACAAAACAAAAAAGGTAAAAAAAGGAACGTAATGATGGAGGGATGAGGAAGCTCAAAAGGATTTTTTTCAGCGTCGCGTCTGCTTGGGGAAATGGAGAGGGTTAAAGGTTTAGAGAACAGACGGCGATGGGGTTGAGTTGGCCGAAACAGTTGTTGGCCCGAAGTTTTGCCCAGTGAAAGTGCAGGCCAAGAGAATGAGGTTTGGGTGCTGGGAGTCACGATGGAGTGGGTGGCCCACTCCCTACCATAAGAATCGCCGCAGATGAGCTGCTGGAATTGAAAAGGGGTTGCTGGCAAGTCACTGAAATCGCGAAATGGGTATTCTACGGCTAAAGACTTGACCTGGAGCACGACTTGAGGGTTAAGGCCGTTGTCTTTAGTATTAAGTTAAATTTTTTCCAGGAGCTAGAACAATTATCTGCCTTTGCAAGTCTAGTATAGAAGGGAAAATATATAGCATAGAAAATCTCAGAATTATATCTAACTAGACTGGTATCCAATTAGGACTCCCGTTTAATTTTTGCAGGCAGCTATCACTCATTTAATTCACTTAGCTGGCCAAGTTTGCTTGCATATTAATTATGGCCCAGCTTCATTGGCCTCTTGGAACCACTATCATCTAGGGGCTGTCTGTGGCACCCGACAGCAGTGTCAAGTTGAAAAGTTTTCCTTGCTCGACTTTCAGCCCAGTCTCTCTACTATCGCAGTCTCACTGGCTTCATCTCTGGAAAGTTAGTCCATGAAGAGGAAAAACTGCAAGACAAACTTTAGCGACAAGTCGAAAGTTAATACACTGCTGCAAATTAATTTACTTTATATTTTTGAATAAATATCTATATATTTTTAGGATTTGGTCTTATTCCTTATTTAACTAAAAGGATTTGCCAACATGATTTACTTATTTATTCTCGTTTTAAGCCCCACACCATCTCTATTGGTACAGTACTAAACATTCTATAAGTTTTAACATTTATCCCAAAATCTATTTTAGATCTCAACATTAGAAGACTTCCCTGACTAAGAAGTCTTAAGCATGTTGTACACTACTTTTGGTTAACTTCAGAGAAATTTCCTAGTATAATAACAGAATAAATGCTATTAAGCGAATATTACAAAAGAAGACTAACTCAACCATTGAACTAATCATAAATTCTCAGTTATAATTTGACATATTAATATGTAAACACTAACGATGGTGGTTGAAAACCCTAAAAAACTTTGATAGCCTTTGGAGAACTTACATAAAAATATTCTCAAATTCCTCAAATAATATTTAAGGTTATAAAGTTATATCCTGACTGAAGAACTATAATTGATATTTTTTCTAGTGTCTCTGAAATTAACAAGTGACACGCCCGCCGAATTTATCCCGCCCCTCCCACCGATTCCAAATCCATAGTACTTACGTCAACATTGCCGTTCCACATGTAATGCATGCCCACGGCGCCCGGATCGTGGTGCGTCTGGCCGGTCATGTGCTCGGCCATCACGGCGCTCATCCAGTGGACCAGACCCTGGGTGGGATTCTGGCTCCTGGACGCTGCCGATCGGCATGTTGGCAGCGGCGGCGGCGGCGGCAGCAGCGGCCACGGCAGCGGCCGTTGAATTTGAATTGGGGCTTTCAACCGGGTTGGGATCGGAGTTGGAGTTGGGGTTGGTGTTCTGATGCTGATTCTGATTTTGACTGGAGTTATTCTCCTGACTTTTGCACGTGGCAACGGTGACCGCGTCCGGTTCTGATGGTGGTGACTTTATGGAGCTGCCAAAGTTTGGACGCGTCTGTGATGCGGGTTGGGCTTGATTCAAATTAATTGCGGACACTGAAGTCGCTTGGGTGGCGCTCGCCTCGATGGGCGGAGTGGGTGGTGTTGTTGGTTGGTTGTTGTTATTGTTGTTATTACCGACAAGCTCGTTGCTGTTGCCGGTGGACCAGGAGTAGCCGTTGTTGTTGTTGAGCGGCTTCTGCAATGAAAAATGGTTTGTTGTCTGTGTGAAAAAGGGTTTCGTCAAACATTTAACAATTTTGTGGGCTAATGTATTGAGCATAAAAAAAGAAATGATTTTTTAATGGCATTCATACGGCGTACCTGCACAGTATGAGGTATTTTATAAACGTATATTTTGGTTTAATATATGCCGAATGATTTTTCAGACTATACTCTTCTTGTAAACTCACCAAATATGTTAGGAAAGGCGGAAAATCAATCAATGATTGGATAAGAAATACAAGCTAGAAAACCATAATTAACAGTCTAATTCGTTTTCATCTCTATATTATAAAGCTTAATCTCGAAAACGTCATCTAATAAAGCCATCTTTAAGTCCTTTATTACCACCCAAATATTTGACCTATCGTGTTCACTTAATTAGTACAGAAGGAAGAAGTTTATGTCAAGTGACAATTAGGTTTTAATTGTAGGGCAAATAATCTAATTTAAGGGTTGCTTGATATATGTAATACAAACTTAAGTTGGCAAATGCGAAAGGGTAGACACCGGAAAGCCTTGTTTTATTTGTACTTATCTGCATCCCAAAATAATCAAAACGAAAACCCTTGAAATCCCATTTATGACCCCTCATTTACTTCTACTCATTTACCCATAGACAATACTAACACTCTGAACGGGGCACTTTTCGCTGATGGGTTTTTGCTCCTCATGTCCGGCATCATTTTCGTGGGTCTCCTGATCCGGCTCTTCCAGCTCTGTCTTCACGTGACCATTCTCCGGGATTGCCCCAGCGACCACCGCAGCTGCCGTGGAGAATAACAAATTGTTAGGTGGATGAGAGCGATTCGAGGATGGTGATAAGCTGGGCGCTGGGCTGGGCGAAGGTGTTCCGGCGTAGAATTTGTGTTGCTGTTGTTGTTGCAGAACGGCGCTGGCGAACAGACTCTTGTAGAATTCGGCGGGCATTAGGAAGGGCGAGGGTGCTGAAGCGCCCGGGGTGGGCGGTCCAAGGGCGCCCATGTAGCTGCCACGCTTCAGCTGATCCTTCAGCATGTCCATGTCCGGATGGCTGTATTTGCCAATGAGTTCGTGCATGACAACCAACTCTTTCGAGCCCAAATGTAGGCAACACTTTTTTCCTGCTCGACAATTTCACTTTCGAAAAGGCGGTGAAAAACCACCCCCCTCGCTTACAGCAATTTATCTAACTGAAGCACAGTTTGTTTGATTTTCCACATATACATTCCATTCCACGTTGAGTAAAGAAAAAACACATCGGAACGGAAAGCGAACAAAAAGTTTGCAACCAAATTTGATGTCTTTTTATTTGGGCTTAACTTTTATTTCATTTTAGATGACGTGGGCGGGACCGGGGTCGGAGTGCACTTCAAAACTTTTACCCCCACGCTGGTTTTTTTAGTTCACACACCAAATTGAAACAAATAGAAATGATTTGCCACCAAAAACTTGCCAGCAACGAACGACCTTGAAAAAGTTTTCCTGGCTGGCAGTTTCCTATTTTTATGAGTTTTATGGTTATCCTCGCGATGGACATGTGTAGAATTCCTTTTTACTTGCATATGTTGACCAATCTGAATATTATTTTTTTGGTTATTTTTTGGCTTGATGTTTTGTTTATTGTTTAGCAAACACTTTGTCGGTGCTCGTCTCTCTCGTTTTTTTTTCTGCGTTTTGATTTATTTGCTCAGCTGGTTGGGTTTTGTTTACTTTTCATCTATGATTGTTTCATTTTGTGGCTGGCGCTTAGGTTTTTATTTTCGGTTGGTTGGGATTTCCGTTTTTCCATTTCCACTTGGCGGGTGAGCAGAGTGTTAAGTTAGTCGTCAAATGCTGTGTGTTGATTTGGTTATTCCAGCGTATTTGCCATGCATTCAATTATATTTTGAATTGGCATTGTTGTTATTATTATTTAAAAGATTATTTGGTTCGATAAATATTTCAGTTATTTGTTTAAAATACTAAGTTGATTATTTTATTAGTTATTAAAGAAATATATTTATATGTATTTTGCACTGGGTAATAGGAACTTTGCGTTACAATGCTGATTTTAGTTTCTTTTTTAGTTTACATGGCTATATTCTTATCTTTGCACTTTTGTGAGGAACTTTAGTAGTAAAATCTTAACTTTAAGTTTTCATGTTCTATATCATTCTTTTTGCACTTTTGTAAGGAATTTCATTTAATCGTCGTTATAGTTGGCACTGCTTTGCTATTGCGTATACGCCGCGTTGAACCGTGTTGATATCACGTATCCGCCACTTAAAGACGCAGCTAACCATTTTCCGCATTTCCTTTATTTAAGGATGATAAGAGAGGGTTAGCTAGTTGGTCTCTCGGGTGTGCTTTCGTGGGTTTTTGCTTGTCCGGATGTCTTGTCCGTGAGTCCGTCTACGTCTCCGTCCGTCAGCGAGCGTGGGATAACCTGCAACAACTGAGGAGCCCAACTGGAAGCCAAAGTGCAGCAGCTCAAGGCAAAGGAAAATGGCGAGCGCGCGCGAAAGCTTCATACATACGAAACACATACACACACACACACCATACATTTACAAACATAAAGAAAAACGGTGTATATGTGTGTGTTAACTGAGACTCTTGTGTGTTGTGAATGTTTTGTTGCTCCTCGCAACCTTCCTGCTGCTGCAGTTTTTGTTATTTCTGCCCTTTTTATTTTATAATTCCTCCCCCTTGCCACCGCCAACCACTCTTTTATATGCACACTGCCCGTTATAAAGACATACATTTGCAGTTTCAGCGCGCACTGCAGCATTTTCTTGTAAGAAAAGCGAAAAATGGGGGGAAAATAGAAAATAAAGCTGAATTTGCGCGACATGGTGGAAGGGCGGCGGGTTGGGTGGTGCGGTGCTGCAGATTGATTTTATTTTATACGGTTTGCCCATGTTTGTGATTTTTATTATTTTGATTTTTCCTCGCCGTCTTCGAGCTACGTTTGTGTGAGAGCTGCACACTCTACAAGACGTCTTGTGTGCCTGTTTTTCCTTCAAAGAACTCTGCCTGCCGTAGGCGTAGACAAGAATAACAGTGTTTGGCATTTTCTTGCTTATTTGACGGGACTTGAATGGGAGCCAAGACCAAAAGTGTCTTATAAAAGTATCTGGGAATGCTCCAAGACTATTTTTTGAACTTAATTCTATCTATTTGGCTTACTAATGTATCGGAATTTTCTAATATATTATAAATAAATCAATGTCTTGATAAGATAATAAAATGTCAAAATGAAAGCTAATTTGTTATACTTCCTTTCTTCCTTTTGACATACAAGACCTTAAATAATCTTTCTACAACTTTTTAAACTCATTACTGTTACATGAAAGTTCGATTTTAGTGCAAGCAGCATCTATTCTAGAAAGCCAATGGCCTGAACTCTAAATTCCTTTTATGTAGGCCTTTAGGGTATACATTTTTCATTTTAAAGGCAAATCTTTATAATTATTTCCAGCATTGCCATGTTTATCAGTGTCCTATAATCCTTAACTGCAACCAGTTTAGCCCTAACCTAACCCAAACCTAATCCAAACGTAACTTCCCCTCATCTAACCATAAAAATATTCCATGTTATCTCCAAAATGGAAATATTTGAAAGTTAAAGCTACTTAAACTTTGTGTATTATAGAAATGAGAAAAAATAAACTAAAGATCAATATCTATACATTTTACACATTTCTTGGATTTACTAGTATTGCTTGCTTAGAAGTTTTGTTTATCAGGAAGTGAGGTTCATTGGGATACCAAGAGTTATTGGTACTATTAACCCATTGGGTGGTTCTAGTTTACAGAAAGAAACGTTCTCTTCATTTATATTTGTTTAGCCTCAACCGAAATGTAGTTCTAGCCATTTCTGTGTGTTCGTCCGAGTGCTTGTCCCTCAAAAAAAACCCAGATCTCAATAGACTTCTATGAATTACCAAACCACCCTCAAGAACCGGCCCGCTTAATCCTAATTGCAGTTTGTCAGCCCTGGTCACGATGAAGCGCCATCTGGCGTGTAGAGGCCATAGCTGTTGACCGCTTAAGGACACGGACACGGTTACGGATGCGGATGCGGATGCGGATGCGGATACGGATGTAGATGCGTCACGGACGCGGATGTGGGCACGGACACGGACGCGAACGCGGCACCGCGACCAATAGATTTGGCCAAGCCCAAGTGAACTGAAGACAACGAGAGTTGCAGCCCGCCAAAGGCAACAAACCCCGGACCACATGCAACAATCGCAGTAACTGCGACGCCGACCGAGACTGCGACGCTGGACTGAGACTGCGGCAGAGACAGCGACTGGTGGAAAAAGGAAAACAGACAGAGCGGAAGTGAGCTCCGCTCCGGCGACTTATGGCCATGTTTGTTGTACGGGTAAGTAGCAGCAGCAGCAGGAGCTGTGGGAAAGCAGCAGCGAAATGGCGCGCGCGAAAAGGAAACTCAAGAAGTAGAGCTCGGAAAAGCAGCAGTAACAAACACGCACACACACACACACACTGGGACATAAAAAAGCCAAGTAAAATTGTATTTTTTCTTGCACATGAAGCAAAAAACGCCAGCAAACTGAAAGAAATACATTGCAGGCGTCGAGCAAAAAACGAAATAATAACAAAAAGTTGTAAAAGAAAAGCGAAACCGTGTGATGTCCTGGTACAAACACACTGGCACACTCGCATACACACACACACATACAGATAGGAGCAGAGGAAAATGCCGCGACGACACATCGAAGAAAGGATAAAAACATTCAGCGCTGTTGGCTTCTCAGTCCGCTTCGCTGCCTCTGTCGGCGTCGCTGCCCTAGGATAGCTGCAAATGTATATCCCTCTGCCGCTGCCGTTGCTTCAGCTCCTGCTTCTCAACTCAGCGCCCTCCTGGCCCCGTTAACATTTCACGAGCGCCAATTTCTTTTCCTTCATTTTGTTTATATTATTTCCCTTTTTCTTACTATTTTTTCCGCAGCTCAGCTGAAAGCTCGTTGTTTTGTTTGTTGCCGCTTGCTGTGCAATTTCTCTGAATGTTTTTCTATTATCCGTTGCAATTTTTCCCCTTTAAATGGAGCTGTGTCTGTGCGGCAGGGAAAATCATTCAAGAATATTCCCCAAGTCCCAACAAGATCGAGGTAATTTTGGTGACTGAACGGAAATTAGGAAATATTCATGGAAAGAATTCAATGAAGTCAGAAATCGAATTTGTCTTGGGAAATTCATGAAGTTGAAGTATTGAAAGACTTTTACCCCATGTTGGGGTTTATTAAAGTATATTTATAAGATATAATACCTATAATATAAAATCTTGTTCAATAAAAAGAGAATCTCATATACAATATCTTATCAAAGATTCGAATTTTAATTTGCTAAAAGAATTAAAATAAGAATTTTCAATATTTATAAGAATATTACGTTAACTCATGAAGTTTTTTTTAGTTCCCCGATCGCTCTCTTGACCCCACCCCCTCCCCATATTATATATCTTTCCGGGTAGATTTCAAAACCATATTAAGATTACTTTCTTGCAACGTTCTCCTAAGCCGATTTTCTTAAAATAAGTAGGAGAGACCAGCGTCAAGACCCTTAACAAGCATACAAGAAAGGAAAAAACCGAGTGCAGTAGTTGCACTTGCAGCGCAGCTGGCGTCGCTGTCGACGTCGTGAGAAACTGCTAGTCGGCGGATGGGGTCCCCAAACTAAATCCCGTCCAGGAGCATATGTTTTTATGTGTATGTGCTGGCTGCGTTCTTGTTTTCCTTTTATGCTCAAGGATTTTCAGCTGCCCTTTGCTGGCAGTCCATACATACTTAGTTGTTACACGCACACACATACACTTCTTTGGCTATGTGGGTGAAATGTCCTGATAAGCGTAAGGAACGTGCAACCATTTTGCATTGCCAACAACAGAGCAAAATCGTATTGGCCTTTAAGATGCATTAAAAGCTCAGAAAAAATGGTTTTTAGCGCGATAATTGAAATGCATGACAACGAATTTGTGGCGTTAGGAATCCCATGGGGGTTACTAACCATTATTTGTTTGATTTCTATTTAAGTTTGATTCTAAAATATTAATAAAATAATATAATATTAATTCATTTTTAACGATTTTAAAAAGTTTTCATTAATATATAAGCTAAAAAACGCAAGGGAGCTAATTCTTTTCGATGGCAAATTCAACAGGTTAAAAGCTACATCTAATATTTCTAAGCCATGCGAACATGACGTTCTTCCCATGGCAACCTGTTGAATTTACATTAATTTTCCTTCGACCACTTGAAGCCATCCAGTCGATTGCCATTAGTCTGCGAAAAGCTTTGAAAGCCAGGCCAATTATGGGATATCCTGTGCACGAACCATGCTAGCAAAAACATATCCTTTAAGCCTCCAGAAAAAGCCAAGCAGAAGCTTGAGCATTTCCCCCCCAAAAAACACTCGAAAGCACGGACTCTCTTACTTTCCCCCAAAAGAGAAATGGGAGATGCTCTTCGAGGCGCTCTTCGAATTGGGGGCGTGTTTGTTTTCGTGTTTTTTTACTCGTCTGCCACTTGTGTCGGTCGGTTTTTTGCCCTTCTTGGCTTTTAAGTGTTATTGGATGATTTTATGGAAATTGATTTGGAGCACGCCCACTTTTTGATGGTGGGAGGGGAGGGAAAACAAGTGCACCAGCTGCTCCGTTGGGGATGCCAACCAATAATTTGACATAATAACATTATCCATACACTGCCATCAAATTAGCAGCAGTTAACAGCAGTCTAAATAGTTTATGATCAGAAACCAATATTGGAAAGATTTCGATAATGTAAAATTTAAAAGATAAAAGACTGTTAGGAAAATTTTTGGGTAAAAAAATGTAAATGGTATTGAAAAAATCATCTTTAATGATTGTAAGTGCGGGAATTTGTATAATTTGATAGAAATTAACTATTACTAAAAACTGAAATAATCGTTGGGTGTACACATCAGTTATTTGTCATATTTAAAAAGGGTAATTTGTCGTTAAATAAATAATTCAAAAAATAATCAGTTTACTTCCTAGTCGTTTGCTGACAAGTTTTTGGTAGAGAAATATTATAATATACACAGGATATCCTTTTTCATTTCCTAAAGATGAAGAAACCTTTTAAGCTGACACTAACAATCTTTTGATATTAAGGTTATTATTAATAACCGAAGCATAAAGGGTTAGTCATTGCTAAATATAAATATAATTAAAGAAATATTTTTAAAAATAGATTCTTTAACGAATATTTAAGTCATTTTAAAGGGCGAAAGAAGTTCGTGGGCTTTAAGAATGCGCTTTGTTAAAATAAATATACCCTATAGTATAGTCACACAAATTAAATGTCAATGCTGTCAATTTCAGAAACACGTTGATTAGGGGAATCGGTTTCTAATAACCATAATAGCATAATTTTATTTTATATATGTTTATTATACCAAGGGACTAAAAGCTCAAATATATAACTTTGCAGTATTTGGGAAAATTTTAGAGAGTTAAATTCTGGATATCTCTGTTAAATAATTCATTAATATGTTTTTAAACTTTCATACTCTTGCCACCTTAATATACATAACATTTCCCTTATAAAGTTCTGATAAATACATACAAAACATCCGATTTCGCAGTGTACTTACCCGAAACGTGTGCTCCACGGGACAGTCGAGTCCCAGGGCGTAATCCTCGACGACGGCTCCCAGCGAAGAGGGCTCCCCAAAGACCTGCTCGATCTTGATGGGTGGACTGGGCAACAAAGGCGTGGCACTGGAGGCGGCTGCAGCAGCGGCAGCAGCAGCAGCGGCGGCGGCTGCGGCGGCAAAGGACCCCTCGACGATTACTGGCGATCCCTGGCCGCCGGTCTGGCAGACGGGAACCGAAACTGGAACTGAAACTGGAACTGGACCGTTGCAGGGCGTTGGCGGGGCCGGGCAGGGAGTGGGCGTGGCCGGACCCTGGACATGGCCATCGTGGTAGGGGGTCACAACAAACGAGGGGTACGAGCGGAACTGATGGTAGTCACTATGTCCGTGCGAGCTGTTGTGCGGATTCGAGTGAGGATGGTGAGCCAACTGAGGTCCCTTGTACCAGGTACCATGCATAATCATTTAAGCACCTTCGATTGGCCGTCCTGGGAAGCGTTTTCCTAATTAAACTCCACTTGGGTGGTCTCTCAGAGAATCTATTTTCCGTTGCATTTACTTTTTAACTTTTATTGTTGTTACTTTTGATTGTTTTATTCACTTTTTGGGGGAGCTAGTAAAGAAAGCCAAATGGTTAACCAGCCATCATATAAACAAGAAAAAGCGTCTTAAAAACGTTAATATATATGAAGTACATAACCCAAAAAGTTGACTTTTAACAACTAAAATCTATAACATCTCATTTTTCCTGGCAGTTTTTCGCTTAATGAGTTAGGAAAATTATTTGGAATTTTTCCTTATTATTTGACAAACTGATATGAAAAACGAATGACTTAAATTCATAAATATTTTTGAAAATAAAAAAGCGTTTGAAAGGAATTATTAGGAATTATTACTAAGTTTTATTTAAGTTTTCTAGTGGTTAGAATATAGAATCTAATATTCCGACAATAATGCTTAGAAAATCATACAATTTGTGGTAAAAGATTATAACTCTGTAATGAAGAAGTATTAATAAATTAAATTTAACTTGAACTTTTCTCACCCTAGTTAAATTTATAGATATGGCTGTAGTTTTTCTATTCCCTAAAATATTTTAGCTTGAACACTAATGAGTCTACATATGTATAGTACAGAAATTCCATGTTTCTATTACGGAATAACATAAATTTCATTCCCTACTTGAAATCATCATCAAAAATAATATAAAGACAAATACTTAAGATCTGCGATAGCTTCTTTACTAGTTAACCATTCGGCATTTACTCTTTAGATCAGCTCTGTAGATTATCTCTCGTATTTAACACTGATAAAACTTTTATATTCCTCAATATTCATTCACTTGCATTCACTCAGCTGATCAGCTATTCAGAAACGCACCGGAACACGTTTATTACGGCCTCGAATGTATTGACACTTGACCAATTTGCGACCCTTTCCGAGGGCTTGGCTCCTTTTTTCTGTATTTTTGTTTTAAACCAACTAAGAAGACGACGACGATGACGACGACGTGTGGTGATAACAATTTGCGACTTCACTCGACTCGATTTTTAATTGTGATACCGGTGGCAAGCTGGGGGAGCAGCTGCACTTGCGGAATGGCGAAAATGCATTGCACTTTGCGACAGAATTCTTCGCGGATTGGGACACGCGGGCAAAAAAGACTACAAACTGGAGACTGCAGACTGGAGAAGAGTGCACTTGGCTGGAACGCGCGCGAAAGTGGCCAACTGGTGGACAGTGGCCAAGTGGCCATCCGTTTGGGCCAGGTTTAATTTGGCTTAGCACTTGGCTTTGGCTGTAGCTGTGGCTATGGCTCAGCAGAAGCGGCAGCACCGAGCAGCGGCAAAAAGTAGCTGCCAGCTCGCAAGAATTCCGAACTCGAATGCTGAGTGCGGCCACGAAAAAAACATTCAAATGCCTCGCACTCGCCGCCAAATCGCAGCTTATCTAGCCCTCTCTTTCACACTGAGTATTCCCCTCTCTGTTGTACTGATGGCGGTTATAGCTTTGGGGCAGACGGCGACGCCTGCGCAACAGCTTTTTACTCCTTTTGCTCCAATGCAAGAGGCAAAAAACAAGTTCGCTCGCTCTCTCATTGTGGGCCTCTCTCCCTCTCTTCTGGCTGAGGCAAAAAAAATTGTTTGTGGTTTTTCCTACTGCTCAGTTTTTGTTGCAGTGTCTCTTGAGCAACTTTGATTTGATTTCGTGCTTTTTGCCTGAGTGGCTTTTCTTTTCTCTTGATTTTGAGCATGAATGAGCATATTGCATGTTGCACGTTGCACGTTGTTCGCTGCTCGTTCAACGGTGTGTGCTGCGCTCTGTTTTTATGGCTCAATCTTTATGGTAAAACACGGGGGCGTTATGATCGCGAAAAATGAAAGTTCAAGTCCATCAATGGAGACGAGATTATGAATCAAAATGGGTAAAAGGAAATTATAGTCTGAGACACTCTAAAAAACATTAAAAGTTTCAAGATATAGGAATTTGAAAGCCATTGGCAATTAAGAACAAAGTTTTATTCGAATGCTTAATTATTTTATACTTATGGATTATATACTCTTTATTTATTAATATTTAATCACTATTACGAAATGGGTTAGTAAGGGGAACAAAGATTTAAAAGAATATTAATATTACCACTTTTTCCATAATTTAGTTTTACTGTAGCTGTCAGCTGTTACGTTTTAGTTAAATGAATCTTTTCATCACATTTAAGGAGAATGTACTAAAAAATGTGTAAGACTTTAAGAGAAGTTAAGATTTTCCTATGATCTTTATTAATCGACTTTCCCAAAACGATGCTTTTAAGTAAGTAAGTAAGTGTTCTTCGCTCATATTTAATTCTATGCTAATTCCACAGCCAAAATAAGGATAAAACCAAATATTTAATGCATTTGTTCCGCTCGCAAATGCATAATTTTCTGCCAAAGACGAACGGGACGGGAACACAAAAAAATCGCATCCGACGACCATTAGCCCATTGACCAACTTCGATGGCGAACCACGCGTAGTAATGAGTTTTTAATACATGTAATATTCAAATTAAAAATCCGCAAAAACTACCAAAGTCGGTGGCAAAAAGCGAAACACTCTTTTTTGTGGCTAATAATCGCACATATTCATTTCAAGCGTTGCCACTGAAAAAATTTCACTCATACGCAATGTAAGCCAAGCTCAAGAGCAAGTTGGGGAAAAAGCGGCGATGCGCTCTTAAAAAAAAACAATAAATGCTGAAACAAAAAAGAGAGAGGGAGAGTGCGAGAGAGAAAGAGACGGGGTGATTATGTGCGAGCAGGTCGGCATGCGGGCGAAGGCGGTGGAATTTTTATTGGAGCACTTGGTTTATTTCTTTTTGCCCTGCTCGCCTCTGGATTCGCATCTTTTTTGATTGTCTTTTCTTTTTATATGTATTTTTGTTTATTTTTTGTCATTTTTTTTCCTTTTTTTAATCTTCTGACAAGGCGTTTTTTATGGGCACGGACATGTGTCGCCGGCGGGTGGGAATAAGGCAGCAGATTTTGGCTGTGACAACTGCAACTGCAACTGCAACTGGAAGTGGCATTCCTCGGGGAAAAAGGTCGAAATAAATGAAATTAAAATGCAAGTGCTGCAGGGGGAAGGCCGTTTATTTAGTTAATCAATGCAATTGGCCCGTCCACCTGGGGACTCAGAACTTAATGCACGGCTAGCAGAATGCCAGGTATGTTTGTTCCCATTGCCAGCAATGTGCCTGACTTTTCCATATTCGAATCACTGGGAAATTGCTTCATTTAGCGATTGTTGTTTTTTACCGCCCGTCGGTGAACTTAATGTCCAGCAGTTTCCCTTTCGATTTATCAGCTAATTTGATTATTTCACCTAATTGCCCACCCGCAGCAATTACACATTTTTTACGGCCTTGCTGCCATTTTATGCGCTTTTCGTGCTGTAATTCATTTATTTGAGTGCAGCAAAAGTTTCGTTATCGGCTCATGACTGTCGCCGCCCTTGTTTGCACTGTCATCAATGCCATTTTGTATTTGCATACGACCATACGGCCATTCGACCAGCCATTTTGAATGATGGCACTGAGATAAAGCTAAGCTAGCGGACTTTTTAAATCATTTATCAAAAAGGCAAAATGGTGTTTTTACTCTCTCGGTCCCCAACACAAAAAAACGTTTTTTTTGACTTGGAAAGACATTTTATACACTAGTATTAACAAAAATATGCATACTATTGATCGGTTTAAAGAAAAATGTTTTCTATCTATCTTTATCTTTATCTATCACAAAAAAGATTGTTCATTAAAAAGAAAAATTAATTTATAAAGTTTTTGTGTCAATTGACTTAAATTTGAACCCAAAGCTAAGGCACGATAAATATGCCAAACCTATAAATATTACCTATGTTATTATGGTAAATAAATGGTATTGTAATCTGTGTGGGGACCGGGACATGAACTTTACAATAATGTTGACTATTCAAAGGAGTTATTATACCCGTTACTTGTAGATAAAAAGGGTATGTTAGAAGAAAGAGTTTTTTACCCTATAAAGTACATATATTATTGATCAGTATCAATAGCGAAGTCAATTCAACCATGTCCGTCCGTCTGTCTGTCTGTCCGTCTGTCTGTCTGCCATATGAACGCTAAGATCTCAGGAAATATAAGTGATACAGAGTTGAGATTAAGCAGGCAGATTCTTGCGGTCCATACGCAGCAGCATCCTGCCATTTTTTTATTTCAGCATCCAGCCACGCCCCACAATAACGCCCACAAGCCGTGGAAAAATGTGCCGTACATAATATTAAAGTGTATGTCGTCGTTTGACATTGTAAAATCTGAACAATATTTCGCTATTTATGAATAAATATAGGTTATAAGGCCTCACATGGAGAATGACCACTACCATAATAAATATTTTAAAATTGTGTAAAGCAGTAACGGGTATCTTATACTCGCGGGGCTCCTCTATAGCGTTTCTTCTTGTGTTGAAGTAAATTTAAACACAGAAATGTCTTTAAATGTATATGGATATATTCTATTAATATATATTTACAAATTCCATAACAGAAAGTCTCCGTACACATAAAGTATACATATTTCAGATCATTATTAACACCCTAGTCGATTTTTTCATGTCTGTCTAGCAGTATATGATATCAAACTTTCTCTATAACATACATATATAAAATTGGAACTAAGAATTAAAAATTGGCATTTTGTCATCAATATTGTTAAACATTTAGTAGCATAACTATTTAACTATAAGCTTTAAATATTAAAGTTAAAATTGTTTTAAAGGATTTCCGTTTATTATTAATTATGACTGATTAAATATGACTGAATAGAATGTAGACCAAAGATAAAATCAATTGGCCATAGAATTTTATCGGGGTTCTTATTTGTTCCATTATTTGTAAAAAATAGTAATTCAATTTAAAATATAGTTTGTTAAGGAATATCTTATAGCTTTTTTTAAATTAAAGATAAATATTTACCACTCTTTAATGAATTACAATAATTATTTGTAAACTTAAACTTATAAAATTTGAATTGAAATGTTTTTTAATTCTAAAATTCTTGACAATATTTCAACGACAGGACTATATCTTTCACTTAAGTTTTGATTGGCAATAACAAAAAAGAATATAGAGTTCTTATTCATTTAAATAAATTTATGCCAGGTACAAATTTTGGTTTATTTCCGATCTTTCTCGTCGACAAAGGGTTATAATTTTTGGTCAATTTTTTCGGGTTACACAGTTGCACGAAGTGGAAACAGCAGCAGCCGCAAAGCGGTACCGCAATGCAAAGTCCGCATCCAGTTGCATGATGGCGCACATTTATCGCCGTAAACCGCAGCGGGACAGATAACTGATGTGGCTGCAGATGTTGCAGATGCTGCAGTGCGGCGCCACCGACTCCAGAAGCCTCGGAGCGAGATGTCAAAATGCCAGCCAGAAAGCCAGCAGAAAGCAGAGCCGCCAGAAACAGGGGCCAGATAGCCGTCATGCTTGGTCATGGACGCCAAATGGTTGACAGACTCTTCAGACAGCTGCAATGGCGCAGGGGCAGGGTTTTGGTTTTGGTTTATGGGCCTTTGGCCAGAGTTTAGGGCTCCCGGCCAGGTTGCATTGAGGGTCCGTTCGGGGAGGCTCCGCCTGGTTTTCGACCGCTTTTTGTTGATTGGCCAGAACGGGTTGGCCGAATGCCGCAGAGCGAGACAACAGGGCGCATGAGCTATAGTCGCATGGAGAGCGAGTGAGTGGCCACCAACGGAATGGTGTCTCGAGTGAGATGGAGTCACTTGGGCAGTAAGTGCAAGTGAGACACAAAAGCCTTAAGAGCAGGCTTTAAGTTAGACTCTCTCTCTCTCTCTCGCTCGTCTCTTTTGGCCAACTTGGCTCTCTGGGCCAATTCTGCAACACGTGTTGGCGTGCTGGCCTGCGTGCAAAATAACCGAGTTTTTTAGCCGCTCATCCGACGCGTATTTTGTTAATTTAATTAAACAAAAACGTTTTGTTTGTGTTTTTTTTCCATTTGTTGTTGGCCAAATGGTTTTTGCCCTGTCGCCGAGCACAAAATGAAATTGGAATCGCAATCGCAATCGCGCTCGTGCACAACTTTGAATATGTTGAGCTCTCTCAAATGCTGGCTGCCGCCGATATTTCTGCTTTTGTTGTCGATTTTTCCCCGTCTGCTGCGACATTTGCACTTTTTGCGGCATCTTGTTTTCCCTCCGATTGCTGTACATGTTGTATCTGCCGTTTAATGACTTGCGCCGTTAAGTTTTAATTGAAATATCACACATTTGACCACTGCAAATTGCCATTGTAATTGCCAGCAGGTCTGTAGTTTATCGTTATTTTTTAAGGTTTTAAGAAGGTAGAATTAGTGGAAAATTCAACTTGACTTTTTGGGAAATTTCTGAGAAATATGTGTCAATTGATCTATATATTCTAATTCTTAAATATATGTTTTTGAACTTTCCTAATGTGTTAGCCAAAAGTATATTTGTGAATTTCAAAATTTAAAAGAATTTTGTCAAAATAAGTAGATTAAAATATTGATATCTGATATTGCTTTTGATAGATTGATATGAATAAAATTTAAGAAACTTTTAAGGTTGAGTTTTATTCAAAACGAATGTAAAAAAGTGCACTTTTAATGAAACATTTTTTTAATATTTAAATTTTTTAATGGAACGTTTTGGGAGTCTTGAAAGAGGAATTAGACAATTTTTTATGTATTTCTTTGAATATTTTTGGTTGGTTTCTTTTTGCTTTTAGTCATATTACCTTCCCCATAACGGTACATGAAATCTAACTAAAATCACCTTAAACTAAACTAGGTTAATTTCCAAAAAAAGATAGCACCCAAACGGAAGTTTTTCCAGCTTTAATCTAGAACTCGCATGCTTGTCGGCCAACACTGTAACTGAGAAAGTTTTAAAACTTCCGCACGTGACTTCCGCAGCTATTGTCGATCGGCCTGATGAGCCCAGTGGCAATTGAGGAGCTAGCTCTTGGCCAACTTGGCCAAGCCTGACAGCCTGAAGAGTTAACGATTGCAGCGGTAATTGGAGCCCAAGTCAGCCCGTCGAGGCGTAGGCGATTAAAAGGCGATTATTTCAATTGTGGCCCAAGAAATAATGATGCCAGTGGATGGATTGATGGCTGGCTGGATGGAAGATGCTGCCCAGTCAAGGCAGTAAGAAAAAGCAGTCACCTGTCAACGAATTCGGCTTAGCTGTTATGTTAATGCGCCAAAACCGTTGACATTTATTGGCAGTTATTTATGGCGGACACTTCGCGCGGACTCTTGGCGGGCGACCATTTTGGGACCTGGCCATTTTGGTGGCCACCACTGCCCGACTATGGAAAATTCTATAATTGTGCAGGTGACAACGCGAGTGGCACGCGCTCCTGACGCTGATTAGAGGCAGTTGCACCTGCAGCTGCACCGCAGTTGAAGTTGCAGATACCCCATCTCGCTACTTCACGCTCGTTCGTCCGCTGGCATATGACCATAAAGATATTATTAATTATGACAATATTGGAGTAAGAGTGTAAGTTTCAAGGCAAGATCTTAAAAAGGAGTGTAGAGACACTCCCTCGAGAATATTACATTGTCTTCAGGGCAGATCTTTGAATAAAGGTTGATCTAAAGTCGTTTACTGTGGTAAGCAAACTAAGAAAATGATTTTCTTTATCTTCTAAAATCATTTTTTAACTTTTTGCAATAATAATCTTCTTAGATATATGGGTTATAATCATAGTTATTTTGCATAAAAATAATGTAATTATGTGAAATTTGTTTTAATCAAGCTTCATAAAGGATACATTTCTTACAAGAGCATGAGTATAAACTCCCTGAGATAAGACATTTAAAAACAATTTTGTGTTGGACTTTAATTTTATGACAAATTAAACTCTTTATTAATAACCACAGATACCTCAGAGAACTTTCAATATTAGGTTGTTATAAAATTATATCAATTTCATCTGCATTTCTAAACTCTAAGCACACTGTACTGGTATTTTGCACCTGTGAGATTTGTTTGTGAGATGCTTCACTAATGAGTTTATTAGTATTTATATGGTCTTCTCTGGAGCAGTCGGCAAGGCGTATTCAAATGAAATCGGGTTGCCTGTTCTGGAGACAGAGACGATCTTCCAAGAAATATCGATATCGAGGCACGTGTCATCTCTTGGATTCTCTGATGCGATGTCCATATCCGATGGGTGTTCGATTTGTCACAGCATCCCAAATTGGGCATTCAATGCTGGACTAGTCGGTAATGGGCTTGTGAAAATATTTAACGTCATATCTAGGAAAGATTCTGACTTGAATGGGAAATTACCATTTTTATTATCTACAAATGAAAAAGCTATTTGTATTAGCCTAGAAAAGTATTCTAACTTTTAGGTAGCCAATTCATAAAGTTCATAGCTGGTGAGTTTTATTAGTATTAAACAAATTTAAGTTGAATATTAAGTTTAATTGATAAGAAAAGAATCTTTATACCCCACCTTACAGACCATGTACCTTGTAATTAGTATCATTGAATAAGCTAAATCGAATTCAAATTTAATTTTAATTTTTAAATCGTGACAGAATTAATAATTTATTAAAATCAAGTGAAAATGAAAGTTGAACATGTAAAAGTAAAGTATTATCATTAACTGCTCTTACAACTCATCTCTAGTACGGTTGACCAAGGTATAGCGGTGCTTGGAGGGCATAAGCTCCTTAAACTTCGACTCGCGGACGACCGGCGGGATTTCAGCTGGATCGATTGTGGACTCAGATTTTTCTTGAGCATCGAGTGCCAAGTGGAAATTATAATGGTGTGTGCCGCTGAAGAGATCATCGATGAACTTCTTAAGGACACCGGGACGGTGAATATCCTTGAATTCCGGAAACAGGTACATGTGGACAAAGGAATCGATGGCGATTAGTGGCAGATCATCCATGGACTTGCCCAAATGGAAGAGTGGGTGCTTGAAGAGTTCCCCGTCTGCAGTCAGGAAATTAACCCTCGTCTCATTTTCCAGTTGGGCATGAATCGCATTCTTGAACTCCTGTATGGGACTCAGATCTTTTTTGTTGTAGAACAGCAAAACGAAAGGCAGTCCCTCCTCGGATAGCTCCTCGGCATTGTTGAAGGTTACTTCTCGCACCATTGCCAGACAAACCTTATCGACCCAAGCGGTTAACTCCTTAAAGCTGGTCATGTTGCCCGAGTACTCCGCGTAGGGGTGCTTTTGGTTTCGAATGGAGGGATCTCCGCGAAAGATGAGGACATTCTTTCCGGGTGGACGAAGATTTTTAGTTAAGTCACCAAAACCCACAAGAAATCTTATACGGGATAGGTAAACATTAATCAATTAATACGTATATAATTTTTTAAAATGTTCATTAAAGTATCATAAACTCACCTACAATCATCTCGTAGAAGACTCGCTACCCTGCGATAGTTATCATATTCCACATGATCCTTGGATGCAAAATAACCAATAACCATGCCATCGCCCACTTCGGCATTTGTAAGCTCATCGATCCGGTGGAACTCTTTAATGGGATCCGAAAGCTCTTTCTCCACAAACTGCACGAAGGCCTCCACAGATCTCTGGCCGCGGTACTCCTGATTGCTAATCAATCCGTTTCTAATGATCTTCAGAGTGGGATACTTTAGTATATCAAACTGGTCGGACAATAGCTCTTCAACATCGCAATTCACTTTTCCCAGGATCACACGGCCAGGTTCAGGGAATTTCTGATGAACCTTCGCCGCCGCCTCCTCAAAAATGGGTTCCAAAATCTGGCTAAAACGGCACCAATCCGTATAAAAGCTGAGCAACAGCAACTCATTGGAATTCAGAATTTCTTGAAAGTTTTCTTTCGTCACTACCACTGCAGAATTTGCAGTTATAAGAGAAGGTATAGAAACTAGAATTGCCAGCAAAATGAGAATATCCAAACTGCCGGTTAGCTTCATCTTCAGGCGTATGATGACGTTGTTGGGTTACTTTTAAGGAACAAAACTGAATTCGATATGGGCAATTAATAAATAAAGGGCTTGCCTAATGGATTAGTTGCATTAACATTGAAATTTTCGAACTTTTCTGACTGTTTCTGGTTTTATTCTAATTTTCAGAATCATGAAAGTGGTGTGTTTGCTGGTCATCGGTCTTCTTGGTTTGAAAAACATTTTGCAATCCAGGACAAAGCTCGGAGATGAGTTGCCAATAATTGATTGAAAAGTTCCCCAAAACTTGAGATCTTTATTCAAGAAAAATGTATTATACTTTTAAATGTATATTCTTTGCTGCAATGTACTAATAAATTAACAAATGTCAGCCATTGGCTTTGGGTTTATCTATGAACTTTTTAAATAACATTCTAGTCCTAAAAAAAAGATGACAAAAACAAGCCTTTCTTTCAAACTTCTCTCCTAATTAAAGCTCTTAAGAAGTTTATTAATTCAGATCTGTAAGTAGGTTAATAAATATGAAAGATAGTAGAGGTCCCAACATCGCCAACTGAATGAGAATATGAAAATTACACAGCAACTGAAGGGAAACAAACCGTTCGAGTCGTAAAATTTGCATATTCGAATGCTGCTTAAAGATTAGTTTCGCTCTTGTAAACAGTTTACAAATTTTAAGATTTAATTTGTTTGTTCTTCATAATATAAGGTTAATAAGTGTTTTTTATTAAAAACTTTCAAATCTTAGTCAAGGTACTAAGTTGAAATCGAAGAACATGTATTTCCTCCAATTTATTATTCTCGGCTTGCTAAGCATCGCACATTCTCTTATGATACCCCCATTTTGTGAGTTTAACACAATATTTTAATTGCTTTGTCAACTTGTAATATAAAAATCAACTCCAGGCGACCTTCTTGTATTAGATGTTCCAGAAGGTAAGACCTTTCCTCTAAAAAAATCATTTATAATATATTTCCTTCTTTTTCAGAATGCTACGTGGCCACAGACTGTGAACGTAAGTATTTTTTCATACTATTTACTAATACTTAACTAAATCTTCTTTATCGATATAACTTCTAGTGTTTAGACAGTGCCTAGGTCCGGAATATTCCTTAAAACCACAGCTATTATAAATCGTAGAAAACTAAAATAAAATCCGTTGTCAGCAAAACATTCAGTTTAGATAAGATACTGGAAGACTTGGATGCTAATGATGCGTCATGGTCATGGGACGATGTCTGCAGCTTGAGAAGAATTTTCGGCAGACAATTTGGCAAGCTGTCAACGCCACTCACAGTTGAAGGGGGGCGTGGCAGCTTGAAGATACCAAAAGGGCGGAGGAGAATCGACAACTCGCAGCTAATGATTGTCTGCGAAAGGACATCAATCAATCCGAAGTTAAAGCAAAACCACCCTCAGGGGAGGAATCTCCCTTCGTTTATGTGGTTCTCACATTAAATAAATAAACAAACTTATAAACTCATTCAAATCATATTTAAAAATCATCGCTGAACAGCGGCACAGCAGCAACAGCTGTCCGTTCATGAATTATTAGTTCAAGCTTATCAAACGTGACCAAAATCGAAACGAAAAAGTTAATAATAAAAAAGAGGCAACAGCAGTGGGCCAGCTGTTGCTGCGCTGAAGGGCCAAGCAAGTGTGAAAAATCAGCAAAACGAAGGTCCAGGGAAATGTTGGGATATATCCCAACCCCAGAAGGAGAGTGGAAAGTCCTCACATGTGCTTTGCCATTATCTTTGGCCTGACCACAAGACGTGTCAACTTGCGGTTCCATCCAGAGCCCAAAATATTTCACATATAAATCAGGCTAAGAAAAACCCTCCAGACACGTGAGCTTCCAAACTTTCTTTATTCAGACTTTCCTGGCAAGCCGCTTATAAATTTTGGAGCAATATTTATTATTCGGTGCTTGCAGTGAACAAAAATAGTTTGAATATTTCTTAGTTTAGAGATAATTGCGATTATTTCATTAGAGAAAGATGAAAAGTCTCATTCCCTTTTTTATTGCTAATAAAATTGAAAATATTATTATAACATTTGAAAGTTTTAATTAAATATCATACCCTTTATCTTTAAAATAAATCTCCTTTCTGTGTATACAATCAGCTTATTGGCGGAACTTGTGGGTAGCTCGTTTGTCCTTAGTTGTGGTCAATATTGCAGGACTTGTCCCTGGCCAACAGACGTCTTAAAGGCGAGGTCTTAAAGGTTTTCACCAGTTCGGGGCACCGCCCAAGTTCCTGGCCCATGACTGCCACGGCAAGGTGACGTAATTATAGATGTACTGCTACGTCGCCTGCCTTCGAGCCAAAGTGCAATGGACGCGAGACAAAGCAACCCTCGAATGCACTGGATGGCCAGCAAGCAAATTCGCCACAGGAGTCGATGTAGCTGCGAAATGCTAAATGTTGAAAGCTAAATGGCAAATGGAAAATGGCAAGGAAAACAAAGTCAAGGTACGAGAGCCACAAAAGGGTTGACAAGGGCCAAAAAACTGAGCAGCCAAGTGGGCGTGGACAAACGCCGTGCGGTTGTCCTGTAATTGATAATGGGAAGGGTCCTTTGCAGTGCTGAAAACTCAAGACTATCGAAAAGCTTCAAAAATTTGGAATATAATGAAAACTTTAGCCATTTTATTCAGCTAAAAACAACAATATACATAAATAGCCAACTTGGCAGCTCTGCTGGAGTGTATCTAAGGGATACGCGTTCGAGTTGGCAAGAGTTGAGTTGTCGCAGTTCGGTATCTTGTAATCTGGCAGCTACAAGACGCTGCGACACATTAGCATAAAATCATGATTAAGATACGAAACTTCGCCCGGCAGTGCGTATCGTCCGTATCTATGCTTTAATGAGCATAAGTATCTTATGGGTAATTAACGCATACAAGACAAACGTAAATCAAGGTTATCTTCCATTCGAGGTTGAGATTTAAGAAACAGTAAATCCTTTTCTGAAAAATTGCAGTGTGGACATAAATCCGCTTAAAATGCAATTTGCAGAATGGTAGCATGGACATCCTTTTTATATTTCCCTTTTCTTCTGGGCTAGACATTTCCGTTTGTCGCAGTTTCTGGGTGGCTGCAGCTCAGTGGGAAAGTGTCATTAGCATTGATTAATTCGTCCAGCGATTTACATGGGAAAACAATCAATCAACACGTCCTGCTCGTCCTCCATTAGTCAATCTCGAGATTGAGATTGAGATGCACAGCGCGCCACTTGAACTCCAAGCGAGTGTCAACCGGGCAAAGCCATTCCAAGCTGTCCATCTCCCTCCTGGCTTCCCTGGATTCCATCTATCCATCTATCCACCCATTTCAGGGACATTAGCAATCACAATCGTCTGCCATGGGGCACATCATTAACGGCTTTCTGGGCCAGCTCATCATCAAGGCCGAAATGTTTATGGAACTGTTCTTGCCAGTTTGGGTTTTAATGAATTACCACGCGGATACCTCGTGTGAGACCTAAAGTTTCGACTCCGTTTCAATGGGCAAAAATTAAAGAAGTCTTTGTGGTTCAAATGGGCGAAGGCAGGGGCGTAGCTTGAGGGTATTTATCAGAACTGTATTTTATTTAAAAAAAATTGTTGTATTTAAAACAACAAATTTTGAAAAACTATTACACCGAGAACATTTTTGATGTTCCAAAAATGATTAAATAAAATTTAACTTCATTCTAGATAAGTTTAACCCTCCCACATTTTTTTTTTCCCATGCCGACCCCTTGGGATCTGTCTCCATGCTTCACCTAGATCATCGTGGGCATAATTAAGCCACATCAATGTCGTGTTAAGTAGCCGGCCGACTAATGATAGCAACATTTGCAACAAAAGCCAATTGCTGAGGGGAAGGAACTTGGGTGTAAGTGAGGGTTCTCAACTTGTGGCTAAACCCATACAGACAAAGCAGGCATTGGGACTTTAATTTTTATGCGTGAAAACACAGGCCAACAAAGACCCATAAAACCAAAAAAAAAAAAACAAACAAACAAGCAGCGACCACAGGCGGCACTTAAAATGCGAGACATTCATTTTTCTAGGACGGAAACAAGCAGAAGGACGTGGGGTGGTGGCAGGCGGAAGGACACGAGGAAATTCAATTAGCCTGAGAACTTTCGGGTTGGTTTCACCGTTTTGGGCAACGTTTGCTTAGGTAATGTTTCAATTAATTCGCTTCCCCGGACCTCAGATGTCTGGCCGGCCAGTCCGGTGGCTGGCTAATGATGCTGGGAGTCCTGGGTGGTCCTTACAGCGGCGATAACATTAGATGATCTTTAAGGATGATGCATGGGATTTCCATCTCCCTCAGAACAAATCAAATCAATTGCCCGCAATTAATAACACCAATTCGGGCCCATTGATCCAGACTGCGACAGCATTTCATTATTTGTTATATATTTCAAAGATATTTATTTGATAAACGCCGCCGACGTCGCCGTCAGACGCCAAAAATCTCATCGCTTTAAGTGGCTCATTTCGGTACGAGAGTCGTATGGGTATGGGTACGGATCCTTTGCAGCCATAACCGCAGGCTACAAACCAACACCAAGATGAGGGAAAAAAAGGCGAGCAGGGCTCCACGGCTACCGGGTAACATATCAAAACGCCGCAAATGGGCAGGAAAAAATAAAATCATATGAACACAAAGTGCCAAAAAAAGGCAAACATGCGACGTCGTCTAAAGGATTTGCCCCATGGCAGGCAACGGCAAAGACAAAGTAGCTGTGGACCCAACAAAAAGGCGAAAAAAAATACTGAAAAGACCCAAAAATGTGCTGAGCCAAGACCATGCTGTGGATATATTTGGGAATTTATGCCGCGATTTTGAAATGAAAAAAGTACGGGAAAAAAACGGAAAAATAAAAGTGAAATAAAGGCAAGGAGGAGTCGCATTCGCGGCGGCAGAAGTCAGAGGAGGATCGCGTATTCGGTAGCCCGCAAATGTCAACCAAATAAATTTGAAGACCGAATTTTGGTTTTGCATTGGCGAATAAGGGATACCCTATTCGGGATAGAGCCCTTATGTGGGGAGTATTTGTAAGTTATATTGAAAATATTTTTCATATTTTATTATTAACTAGAATATTCGGATAGTAAATACATTTTATTAAGAAGTTCATAATAAACCTACAATTTTGCATTAATTAATATTTTACAACTATAATCTCATTACAGCGTTAAAAATATTGATATTACATTTTTTAAATATTAAATTGTATGGTGCTTCCTATCTACCATTTGTATTTCACGACAATATCCCTTTAAAAGCCCAGAAGAAGGGCATCCCTCATTTCCAAAGATGCCTTCCCTGTAAGTGACTCACTTGTGGAAGCAACATAAAGCTGCAGTTGAAGCTCACACTAGGCAGCGTTAATCCAATATGTGATTACGGGTGTTCTGACTTTAAGCATCTGTTAAATTGGCTTAATCTCCGACTCCCTGTGTCTGTGTATGTGTGTTGGCCCAGCGTCTGAGTCGGCCCTTCTCGAAGTATTGGTATCTCCCGCTGCCACTTTGTAACTGTTGTCATTTTTATTGCCCTGGGAATGTTTTTTGTCCACTGGCTCAGCGCACACGCCCCGCAAAAAAAGTTATTTTTTCTGATTCCAGCTCCTTGCCTTTGCGACTGGGTGTCCTTTGTACTCTTGGCTAAACAAAAGTTTTCTCGATGATTTTATTGACCAATTTTTGGGTGCGTAAGTTCTCTGTATTTTTTTCCGTATTTTGTATTTCTTTTGGCAGCAAAGTTTTTTGCATGCCTTCATCGAAGGACAGACAATCTGGAATCGAGTTCGTTTATTTTGGATTTTCTTTTCTTGGAGTTTTTTTTATGTTTTTATTGCTTTATCTGCGGGGATTTAAAGTTTTATTGTGATTTAAACACTTGTTAATAGTGTGTGCATATGTCAATTCGCTGTCGCCTTGTTTGTATATGTTCGTGGGGGTCAGATTGTGTTTTTTCGAGACTACGAGATTAAGTTGTTATGGGATATTATGACGTTTCAGAGGAATGGGGAAGTAAAGCGGGCGTAGGCGAACATTTATATGAAGGTTTCATCTTGATCTTTTGTAAAGACATTTGCCAAAAAAATATTGTAATATTGGTAATGTTTTTCCCTTACATAAAATTTATTATTAAAACTCCTTAAATAATATTTTAGATAACATTCTTCAAATTCTGAAATATAAATAACCTTTTATTATATAACATCTGAAAGGGGACATAAATATTAGAAGTTATTTTTTATTTCATTATTTTTCCTTTTAATAACTTCAATAAAACTTACCACCCAAAGTAGGAATAGATATACTGAAATTAACTGTATCTCTTAATTAAAATCGCCTTTCATCCAACTTGGCTTCCAATGTTGTGTATCTAACTCAGAATTTACATTCGCGTAATTCATGTCACCACCAGCGCCGCAGAGCTCGCATCTGCAATCCATCGTTCCATTGATAAATTGTCCCAGTCCGAGGAGATCTGGGCCAGTTTTGTGGACAGGTTCAAACGTCTGAGCCTGCCTGGCGGAGGCAATCACTTCGCTTCAATCTGCGGGTGAAGAGCTTCTGGCCAACTCCGCGGCCACATCTGCTCCAGTCAACTTCAGCCGGACGAACGATTGTAATCAAAATACAACAAATTAAGGGGAGAGGAGCGAGGAGAGAGAGTGCGTGAGAGCGGGCCGGGTACCTTTTTTAAAATATTTATTTATGCAATTATTTTGCAAGTAGCTCAAAATAAATAAATGAAATGAAATAAAATAGCAGACCGGGCCAACAGCGTACCTGGCGGGACGGGTTCCAAGTGCCCGGGCACGACTTCAATTGACGAGGCAGTAAATTAAAATTTAAATTTATGCCATTTGCTATGCCAGAAAGGCTCGGCTCTGAGGCCAAGTTGGTGTCCCGAAAACGGAGAGACAGGGCACAATTAGGTGCAGCTAAAGGTGCTCCCCAGCCGACTTTCCAGGTGGTGGTGGTGGTGGTGGTGAGTAGAGCTGGTCAAATGGCCAGTGTCCACGGCAAGAGGAAGGGGCACTTTGGTATTGGCCATGTCATCACTTCTATTGTCATCATCTCGCGTCATCTTTCTGTCAAAAATGTATTTATTTATTTGTGCATTGCAAATGCAGTGCCCTCAGACCTGAGTGAAACGTCATCGCGGTCACTTCCAGCGATCACCTGCCAACAGGTGTTGGCTGGGCCCTCGCGGATGCTTTTTGACCCAATTAGTTGTAGTTGTTGTGGCCTGGTTACAATGTAAGCGCAGAGTTTATGGCTCGTAAATGTCGTGGCCGGCCAGTTTTCATCATGTTGTATTTAAAAGCGGGCATACGTAATGTATTGGGTTACATAATTAACATATTTTTGGGACGCTGGAAATCTAACACAGTGCATGAACTTGGCTGTAGTTTTGGTCAACGTTTTTCGTTCACAAACCTTATGATTTCTCACTGTGTAATATCCGCTAAGTGTGTGAATCTGCAACTCGTTTCACACAATTATGACCGCAAATTACTGGCCGATCTGCCTGCACAATTTGAGATATAGCCTTTCTGGACTCATTAGTCCAATCATAACTGTGAAGTTGTTAAACCGCCAAAAACAGGAAAACCAACGAAAACCACCCAGATCCATTTGCTACACAAAGACATCTTCGACCGCCGAAAGGGGGCCATAAATGGCAATCAACAGGCAATCAATGGGTTAAACCCTTTTTGCTTTATGATCCGAAAACAATTTAAGCTTTTATTTGTTTTTGATGCCACCACAACAAGTAATCAGGAGCCGCCAACTTGTCTTCCAAATGGTAGCAAATCAAATTGGCCAACAAAGAACAGAGCAGAGCAGAAAAGACCACATCTCCTCCACTTCGCTCCTCGTGGAGCGAGCTGGGTGCAATGAGCATACATCATGGCCAGAAGTTGCATTCGGACACTGCCCGAGTACGAGTCCAATTGATGGATCACCGAAAACCGACTGCCAGACTGCTGCAATGGTTGCTCTTGCTGCAGCAGTTGCTGTTGCTGCTGCGGCTGCTGCTGCTGCAGTTGCAGTGGGACCAACGCCAAATGAGTTGAGAAGCAGTTGCGTAAAACGAAACCAGCGATAATGATCATGCCAAGCGCAGAACGCGTTAAAGATTTCAACGTCGTCATCAGCAGAAAACAGAAGCGGGCAGCTACGGTGGGTACTGGCTTCAACAGAAATTTCCTAATGTTAGAGAAATATTTTTAAAAAATGGTAGCTGTTATTAATTTATTAAGTTTCTTTGTCGAAAAAGCAAGAAAAGGTCCATTGTCTTTGAATAACAAATGAAAATTATATGTCCTTGTCCTTGTCCTTTTCTTTGCATTTGTATTTGTCTATTTATTTTACCAACTCTATTTATTTTATTTAAAGTTATCTTTAAAATTGTTTTTGAAATATTTTAGCATTTCATTTTGGAACTCAATTTTAAAAACAACCGATTTGTTATCCCATATATCCAACATCCACTGTAGCTAACATCTGCAGTCTTCCTCAGCTTCTGACCCATCGACGACCGGACGTAGTCGCTGGCCAAGTGCGATTGCAAATGCACGGAATTCTCATTGAGCCCCCATCCATGGGCAGGCCTCCCCCCAGTTAGCTGGCCCCTCTTCCTCAATTGGCCTGGCCATTAACGCGGCTTGCTAGCACTTGGCATCGGCGATCGGCTACCGTTGCTACCGGTTACTTCTTGGCCATCTTCATCTCTATCGGTCGGTTCTTCCTCTGACTACCCCTTCCATCGCTTCCTCCGCTGATGAGTTTAGTGCCGCTGACTCGTCAATGATTTGTACTTTTTACCCGGTGCACGGTGCCCGCCGCCTGACGAAAATCATAATAATCATAATAAAATGCAGCTATATCCATTTTAACACCAAAAATACGAGTATGTCTGGCTCCTGCCGCTGAGCCGTGTCTGTGGGAGATTGGCGGGCGGCAGGAAGGAGCAGAGAACCATTGAAGTATTGCCGTTGTCATGTCAATTTCGGACCTGCGGTCCTAGCCAGAAAGGCCTGTCGCATTAAAGTCGGTGATTTGTGTTAGGCATCGACGGTAGCCACTTCTGGGTGGTTCTGGTAATTAAGTGTGCTTAACGTGCTGAAATTGTATGGTCAACGTCGGTGTAAATGCTAATGGAGAGCTTCCTATTCGGTGTGAGTTGTAAGCTCAGTGTAAAGTTTAATTTTTGGTTCCAAATAAGTTTCCTTATTTGCATATCCTTACCTTTGCTTATGATAAAAATCAATCAAATCAAAACAATTTTTATATTATTAATATTTTAAAAAATATATTAGCTTAGCTTGCCAAGCAAGTTAAATAAACCAACAAACAAACACTTGTTTTACCGCAAAACAAAAATAAAGTTACAACAATGACAATCGATACGGCAGAAACGGTTGAGTATCTGCATCTGCATCTGAACTTGTATCTGTATCTGCATCTGCATATTGATCTTGCAACGTTTTGCTGGTCCATTGCAGCGATTGATGTTGTCAATCAGAGCAGATTTAAACGAAGGTTAAGAGTTGCATACGTTTAATCGGCCGGCAGACCGGGCCTACCAGTGAAATCCGAACTGGAACTGGGAACGAGAGAGGCCCAGACCACAAGCAAATCATTGAAGCGCGTAAAACGCGGCAAGTCCAGGATGCTGCAACAAACGAACGTACCCCAATCCGAGTCATCGGTAATGATGCAAGTTGCTGCGCCAGATGCCATGTGATAGAGATGCGGCGCCGCTGATTGCGATCGCCGAGCGTTTACTGTTGGCTGTTTGCATTTGTGTTGCAAATTTACAGCTCCATCAGCAGGTTGCGGCTGCATCATTAGCCCCACCGAACCAAGGTCACGGCGGATCGATGAGGCAATCAGTTCGCGGGACCAACGGCAAATGGCAACAAATTAGCCAAAGTGATGATGCGTTAAGTGGCAAAATGGCGCAACCGCCAATGAGGAAATTAGTTTTGGCGGTTTACGGAGCAGACAGCCCATAGGGTTCCAAGGGCTCTGAGACTCGTCACATTGCTATGACAGCTGCCCACACTCTGGCACTTTGTCTTTGGCCAATTAAAATCAAATTTCAAATTTCGGAAATGTTCAAAATTTTGTGCAACTGATGACAGTTTAATTGCCATCCTGACAGCTGCTTTCACTTAGGCACGAGTATCATCATCCCAGATCTGGAGCGAGTTGATATGGGGATGAGCGGCGATAGATGTCCCCGTCGATAAGGTGGCACTCTGCAAATTCTGACATTAATTACTCATCAAATTGAGGCAACTTTAAAAGTGCTGCCATTTTTTCGAAAGTCATTCCCATTTGGGTTATAAAAGGGTTGTCGTTAAAGGCTCTCCAATTATGTTTAATGGATAAAGTGAGCACATAAGTGAGAGTATTTATGATAAGTAATAAAGTTTCCTGTAATTATAAAGGCTCATCTGCTGTTTGAAAATAAAATTGATGAAATTTAAGAATGATTTCAATGTGCAAAAACTAATCATAAACCAACATAGGCATTCAAAACTATCCTATTTTAAACAGACTAGCAAGAAACCAGCATAATGACCATAAACTTGTATCAAACTACCCGGTCAACGATTAGCCTTGAGAACGTCTTCGCGATTTCATGTCCAGTCTCGCCAATTTATATGTGGCATATGCAAATGGGCCAGACAGATAAACACACACATTTCCAGCTACCAGCGAGCAGACTCAGTGAACTTGGCCCAAAACGCATTACCGTTAGAAGCGCCAAATTGCCACGAAAGCGAAAAAAAGGAGATCAATTTGCATGTGAGGCCGCCGCGGGCAAAAGCCAGAAGCCAGTAGCTCCTATAACTTCAAATTACAAATCATAATGCGGCAGCGAAAGGGGAATTAGAATATCAAAATTTTTTGTCTGGCGATCGTCGGCTACTGCAATTTCGTTGCCGATAATCGAAATTGGCTTTAATCACGAAGGGCCCCGAAATTGCCGCCGATCGTCGCGACTTCGGGAAACTAACTGTTCATCTTCGATTTTGCATAATCGCTGCGAGTTGTGCTTGCAGATTCTCATGCAGATTCAAGCGATGGCATTAAATGGCAATTAACCTTAATTGATTCCACGATTATCGCCAAAAACACAGACTTCTCCCCTCCTCACGGAAATTTCACTTTCAGACTGTTTGTGCAATTGTACGACTTCCGAATTGGATTACAGCCAGCGCATAGAACTTGTGGCCCGGTTGTCTATCATTAGCATCAAAAAGCTATCATCATCATTACCCAAGCACGAGCTCACACTTTGCACGCGATGAGGCTGCCGGTGGTTATTCGTTGGTGTTGCTCCGGTGCTGTAGGTGTTGCTGCGGTGCTGTAAGTGTTGCTGCCGTGCTGTGCTCTGGCTGCTGCTGTTAGATACACACGCAGGCAATAATCATAGGCCAATCACAGAGGTACGAAGGTGTTGCTTTGCAAAGTGCGGCATAATCAGTGAGCAGCATGCAACAACTATTTAGATTTCTTGGGGGAGAGGTGAATATTTCTATCATCTTACACTCAATGTAATTTCTTGTAATTGATGGGCTGATGAAACCATTAAGAGTACGCAGAAACTATACTTTAAACTTGGTAGCAAAGCTTGCCTTGAAATAAAAATAAATATTATTTTTTATAAATATCTAGTTTATATAATTTGATCTTTAAAAATAAATTTTAATATTATACTTTGAGTAAGGCCAAAAAGTAGATTAAAAACAGTTTAGTTAAGGGAACTCATTCCCACTCGATAGCAATAACCATAAAGGGACTAAAGGGACTGTATTCACATTAAGCTGAAGAAAAATAGAAGTTCCATCTAAGTACATTACAGGTATTTAATCCCCTTTCCGATTGAAGGCTTTCAGCCGGCTGACATAAGTTGACAAACTTTGCCAGCCAGGGCAACTTGGAATCGCTCAATCGAGCGACAACAATGTTGGGCTCTAAATAGATATATCAGTAGCTTTAAATATAAATCAATAAGCGGGCAAATGGCAAACGCTGCATGTAAGCACTAAATCAAAGTGTCAATACGGGTAACTGATACACTGGAGCGGAGTGGAGTCGAGTTCAGCAGCGGAAATTGAATTATGCCCCGTTGGACTGCCAGACTTCAGGCTGGCCATGCATGAATGAGCGTTTGACTGAATGGTTACTGCTTTTGCTGTTGGTGCTGCTGCTGAAAATGTTGCTGCTGAAACCGCTGGCGACTTGAGTGACAGACGGCGGACAAGTAGTGCTCGAATCGGGTGCAACCACTTTCGTTGGCCAACGGACATCGGCGACTGTGTGAATCTGTGGCATGAACTGGAGTCGGGCAAATCTAATGTCCACGTCTGAGCGATTTCCTTTGCAAACCCGTTTCAGCGGGCATTAGAAACGATACGCATATGCGATACTATAGTTTATGGTCTACAATTAAAATTGTGCGACTTGAGTGCACAGTCAGAGACTGAGACTGAGAAGGGGTAGGTTTCATTTTCATGGAAAAAGTTAAGCAAGTTAAGTTTTTTAGCCGAGGAAAATGAATATAATTTTTCTATGATTTGGCCAAAATAAACCCCCTTCTGACTAAGCCTCTGCGCCTTAGTGCACGACAAACGCATTAAACGAAAATTAGTTGCAATAACATGAAAATTCATAGCTTAATATAAGGCAAACACACACGGCAACGAGCAGCAGTTGCTGGCTGACAAAAAACTTTTACTTATACATTCGCCGATTGTGGCAGATTGACATGGGAAAATGCTTATAAAAGGACTGTGCGAAGTGTTGAGTTATGATCTGGCTTTTTGTGCAGTTCGGAACAATAAATAAGCTGATTGATTGTCCAAGCAATTTAATTGAGATGATACGTGGGCCCGATGTTGACGAGTCCAATTAACGGCACCGAATCGATTCCCATGATCTAATGTCGCAATATCGGATGAAAGCGAAAGTGTCGCTCATTTGAATATCTGGCTGTCTATCCGCTAGACTGACCACTTTCAATTAACTGTAACTCTGTTAGAAAAAAGTGTTTTCCGAA